TCATAAAGTGACAATCCGATTTCTACTTAGGTGAATGGACTTAACGGATGAGTAAGTACGCTTCGATTCGCTGCTTAACAGTCTGACCGAATTGGAAGTGCATTCCTTCGTGGCTGCGACTCGTTTCTTAACATCTAAAGTTCCTTAATATAAGCGACTTCAGATGCAACTTGCAAAGCATAAATTTCAAATCAACAGCGTCCCTCAAATATCTCAAGAACGTAAAGAAGGTGCCAGTTATTCTCACAGAAAGAAAAACGCGAAGTTAGAAACGGTACTCATCCCTGAGAACAAAGTAGAAACAAACTAGAATCACGTAGCACTGAGTGGGTGAAATCTAGAACAATGAGCAGTTCAACATCTTCACGGGGGTTAACGAGACGCCACCAATTACTCCATGTGTATTTCGAATTACTTTTCTAGAAAGAGGAATATTTTTGGTTGTAAGACGCCTTTCTCCAATTTGGGACCTGGAAACGCTGTGTTTTGGATGTTTTCGTATTCTGACTACCATCTATGGATTACTGTATAAAGGTGTTAATTGGATTTTCCCACGCGTTGAACTGCCGTGCATAATGACGGGCTCATCTCCAAGCCAAGACTACGAGTCTTACAGCAAGCAAATAGGATTTGCTGCCGTCTTGGCAAAAAACTAGGTTCAACTCGCCATATTTCTAAAGGAATAGCAGATATCAGTGATGACAACACAATAATTTTCTAGAACTTATGCATAAAACCGCCACACCATCCGGGTCCTTCGTTTTGCCTGTCTCTCAGCTAATTCTATCGATCTTTTGCCATCAGCAATCACCCGTCAACGGTGGTGAAGTGCGCTACTCCGCGGTAAGGACAATAGCGCGTTCGTTCCCCACCGCATACACCTGCGGTCCGGAGTTTGCAAATATCTCAGCATTATATACGAGTTATAAAACCGTAAAATTATTTATATTGCCTAGCACTTCTTACACGGCGCGTGTAACGCAGTGGTCAGAGGTGCCCTGTAATACATGTGGGATCGATCTCTGTGCCTCAGGCTCACCAACCCGTCCATCCCTCTGGGATTGGCAAATTGGTACCTGACTTACCTGGAAGGACAGGAGCACTGGCTCTATACATCAATACGCCACAGCGAGTCATTATAAAGGCCAGATATGCATTCAGCCATCCTCAACGATACTTAACGAAGTCGAGTGCATGGTTCATCTCTCAGGGATTGATCAACGCCGAGAGCTTTATCCTTTTATCCCTTAACAATTCTTACAGTTGAATAGGGCATACCCATCAATGTGCCTTTGAGTTGCTGCCTCTTTCTTGTAATATTCAGACGCTCCCTGTTTCAAATAACCATGCCCTTAATATAATATAGAGGTCACCGTTTCGAGAGACTCACCACAAAATGAAGAAAGCATGGGATATTTAGCACTCCAAACAAAGAATGTGTGTCTCAGTAAACAAACTACCTATCGACTACCTGCTCATCTCTCTACACGGATGGATTTCGCGCTCCAGTGTGCTCTACCGCGCTCTGGTGAATATGTGATAATTTTCGGCTGTTTTGAGGTGGGTGTTCGTGTTCTTTTCAAAGTCTTGACAACCGAAGAAGTACTAGTTGTGCTGACGTGTCCATTTACATTTCACTCCGGAACCTCTTTAGAAACGGACCATGATTCTAAGGATTTCAGTTCTTTTGTTGAGAGTTGCAGTTCAGAGACTAGAGCTATTGAATCTTTCGATGCATTATCTCCATTTAGACTTTATTTTATTTACTATCGATCTTTATTTTGAAGATGGCGCCGAAGAAACCGGCAGGAAAGAAGAACAAGAATGACGGCTGGTAATTTGATTACTTAGTATTTATGTTTTGCCTCAGTTTCCTTACTCTTCCTGTTACCGGCCATTATTTAATTTTAGGCTTCCGCTTTACAGGGATGATGAGGTGGCCGAACGAAAGTTAGAGTTATTGATGACTGAAAAGGGAAGCGACGAGGATGTCTGGGATGCTGAGAGTGGTGAGGAGCTCGCAAAGCCTCTACAGGGGAAAACTGCTTTCGCGATGCTGGTAAGAGTCATAGGATTCACGTAAAGCTTTTCCGTTATCCTTTCCACTAATGCCTTGAGAGTTCGTTATTCCGTCGTTGCTGGCTTTTGTGTTCCATGCTAAAGTAGCGGTTTCTTTACGAGAATCAGTTCGTTGATTTAGAAGAAAAACAGAACCAGGGGAAATTGGTGGTTTATTGAAGGCGTTTGGTGGAATGTTTTCTATACTTATTGATCAACCTTTGTAGATGACTGATAGTGAGCAGGACAACAACATGATGTCAGAGTCGGACGAGGAAAGAAGCGAGGTTAGTTCAACGAACAATTTTCTATTGAAAAATCCTCTGTCGTTATTTCGAAATAGACTAGGTAGGAATGTGGCTCCACTTCTCAATTACACCATCTGCACATTATGTCCTTTTATTATTTTCTTGCGCGGAAACTAATCAGAACTGGGCTGTAGGATTAAGTCCCTAGAATACATGTGCTACATAGCGTTAAACTTCATCTTGCAAAGTTTCGGTACACTATTTAGGAGGTTGGAAAAATGCCCCACTCCATGAAGAAAAGGGAAGGGAATGCTCATAAAAAACATGACAACAAGAAGAAAGGGAAAAAGGACAGAAAGGTTTCTACTGAACGTTATTTTTGTCGTTTCATAGCATCTATAAGATCTCTATGAAATACCTTGTTTCATTCTTAAAAGATACATCCTCAGGGGAAGCAAGTAGAAGATGATCTTGATGCTATATTAGCCAGTTTGGAAATGGGCGATAAGGTTGCTCCCCCCACCAAGGAGAAAAAAGTCTGTGGGAAGCAAGAAGAATCCATGTTAGCCGTTGATCCTAAAGAGAAGGGATCTTTTGGAACATCTAGTGAACTTCTTAAAGGTATATGTCTTTACTTTGTTTTTTTTTATTGATTTGCAAGGTAGGATATCGTTTTCACTATTAGAGCCGTTGGAGGGAGGAGAGACGGTCGCTGAAAGTAAGAAGAAGAAAAATAAGAAAACAAAAGACAAGAAGGCAGGAGACGTGATAAACATGGATCAAGAAGGTAAAAAAGATGGAGAGAATAAAAAAGAGGTGAATAAGGATTGATTATTTCGCTTCTATTAAAGTCGTGGTATGTCAGTGCTCATCAATTTAGGAGTCAACTATTCATACCTGTGGTGATGCTGGTGCGGAAAAAGTTGATGAAGATGAAAACAAGGATAGGAAAAGGAAGAAAAAGGATAAGAATAAAGATAAGAAAAAAGGGGACAAGGAAGATAAGGATGAAGGCAAAGGCAAAAAGAAGCGGCATGTAAGGAGGCCTTTGTTTGGAGATTTCATTGTTATATCAGCTTTCTCAGAGTTCTTTTACTGTAAACTATGTTCCTAATATTATTGCTTGAGGTTGACATGATTAAAGAGCTCTTGCGTGCTAAACAAGAAGCTGAGGAAGCTGAGATACGCAGGCGGAAAGAAGAAGAAGAACGTCTGGAAGCTATAGCTCGTTCAAAGGAAGAGGAGGGAAGCTACTTTTTAATTCTCTTTCCCTATATTTTGTCTCCAGTGTTCTTCTGAAATGAACTATATCGTTTTTAGGAAAGACTGAACAGGGAGAAGCGAGAGGCAAGGAAGGCTAAAGAGAAAGCTGCGGTCGAGCGCAAAAAAGCTGAAGGCACTTATCTTACGGCAGCACAAAGAGAAAAGCAACGCATAGCAGCTACTAAACTAGCTGCAGCAGGATGTATGCTTTTATAATGGTTTGAAATTATGTAGTGAATAAGACTGAGTCTTATATGCTAGTTATTTGTTTTCTTCAGTATCTAAACCTGTTCCAACGGCAAATGTCCATGTGATTTATGCAAACTTGGATCGACGCTCGAAAAAGAAGTTGCAAGAGCAAAGAATGAAAGAACAGAAGCTGTGGAAGCAACAACAAGAAGAGGAAACAGTCGGACTTCAACAAGGTTGATTTTCTTTTTGTTTTCTTTGTCATTTGTAGGAAGTTTGCGGATATGTCTCATTCTTGACAACGTCTTCTTTTTTTCTTATCGCTCCTCTGAACTGTACACGTTACAACTATATGCCTTTAACTTCTATAATGCTGTGATATTTGCAAAACTCCGGACCGTAGGTGTCTGCGGTGGGGAACGAGCGCGCTATTCTTTCCGGGGAGTAACACATTCACCACACCATGCAGGTTCCGCATCACACTCTGCTATGAAAAATCAAAAATAAATAGCTTTGCAAACATCGAGCATTATAGGAGTTATATTTCGCAACATACCACTGCCATTAAAAAGAATACGCAGTAAATAAAAAGGTTAAGATTATATGCCTTTACCTCGTGAAACATAACTGGAAGTTTCTGTTCTATTATACAGAAGCACCTGGAACTCCACCGTCGTTGAGCGAAGAAGCTGTCGAGAATAAATTCTCAGCACAGGTTGGCTCTATATGCGAAGCATCGTTTAATGTCTTGCTGTAGAAGTTTAAAATAGGATGAACCACTTGACGATTGGGAACTGGCAAACGAAGAGCCACAAGAAACTGTTTCGAAGTTAGTGGAGAAGGAGTTAAAACCAGCCGTCGTATCAGCACCGTCGAAAGTTGAAAACATAGAGGTGTTGTTAAATCATTTATAGTATAGGCATTATTGCACTATATATCTGCTGGGTTGGTAATATTCATGAAAGCAATCGTATCAGGATGTGGAAATGTCTGAAAAGGATTCATCTGAGGAGGAAAGTGAATCAGAAGATGAGAGCGAAAGTGAGGAAGATTCGTCGAGTGGGGATGAGTCGCCGAAAATGAAGCTTACAAAAGAGGAATCAATGAATCTCGTGCGGCAACGACTACTCGTAAGTTATTTCTTCCTTAATTTTTCCGTAACTTTGTTTGTCAGCGAACTCTAATTTTTTTGAAAAGTTAACAGTTTCTAAGTTTTTTACTTTTTTTTTAAAGAAACGACGTGAATATGCGGAATCTAAGCGTTCGAGGGAAAATCTTCGCGCTCCCGTTATTTGTGTTCTCGGTCATGTTGATACTGGCAAAACAAAAATGTTGGATACTGTATGTGGAATTATGTCATAGTTATTAATTCGTTGTTTCATTCATCTTTCAATTCCTATTATGTGCAATGAAGCGAGAGATGCCCTATTTTCATTCATACAGCGATGCTTTGATTCAAAACTGCTTCGCAAATTGTGAAGAACTCAGGTATACTATACAAGCTTTGTATGATGTAGCAAGAAATTTCGCGGATGGAAAAGTTTTTACTTCATCCAACCACGGGTTTTTTATTTTCATATTTGGGCTTTTTAGATTCGTCGGACAAATGTTCAAGATGGCGAAGCAGGAGGTATTACTCAACAAATTGGAGCTACGCAGGTTTTTGTTCTTTATTTACTGTTTCTGCATTTATAATAACTAAATTACTATCGTATTGAAGGTACCAAGCGACGCTATTAAAGAACGGTGCAAGCATGTGAAAGATTTCAACCCCGATACTGTTAAGATTCCTGGCTTACTGATTATCGATACTCCAGGCCACGAAAGCTTTGCGTTAGTGTTTCCTCTCAGCTTATTTATTGGAGGAATACTCCTTCCTTTTTTAACTATAGTTTGTGCGGATATCTGTCTGTTGCAAAGGACGTAGTTTGCAGAAATCTGCGCTCTCGGGGATCTTCACTGTGCGATTTTGCTATTCTGGTTGTCGATATAACGCACGGGCTCGAGCCGCAAACAATAGAATCATTAAAGTTGTTGCTCAAACGGAAAACACCGTTTGTAATCGCTCTTAACAAGGTATTTTTCTGGTTCTTTTTTTCGTCTTCGTAAAGTTCTTTACTCTATGTACAGTGGCACAAAGAGCATTTGAACAATGTAAGAACTTCATTAAGCTTGCAGTATTTACATTTTTGTTTCTGAACCAATAAGGCTAATTCCTGCGTTTAGTTCTGGGTTTATACCATCTCTCTTATAAATTTCTTTTTCTAGTTTGTATGGAAAAGGACTGATTTCGTCTATATGTGACCACATCGATTTCTGTGTTCATTATGCATTCTTTTACCATTATCATTATACAGATCGATCGTTTGTATGGGTACGAGTCGAATCCACGCAAGGACGTATATCAACATTTAAAATCACAACCTCAAAATACGCAACTTGAGTTTAAGGAACGTTATCAAAAGATTGTTGGGGAATTTTCGGAGCAGGTGAGACTACTGGAAGCTTGAAAGTTTTTAATTTCTTTTTTTTTTAGTTTCCAGCGACTTATATAATATGGTTGCGTTTTAGGCAATCAATGTTTGTTTATCAAATCAGAACAAAAACCTAGATGAATATATCAGCATGGTACCAACTTCAGCTGTTCTAGGAGACGGAATCGGTTAGATCTTAGCAGTTTTGAGTTTTGAAGCAATTAAGTTTCAATTACTGTGATGCTGAGATATGGGGCCTTGTGATGAATAATCGGTTTTCAAAACTTGGAGCCCAGGCCAGATTCGAACCCGCGACTACCCTTCCACATCTTACCTTGCCGTGAAAAAGTGGTAGGCCATAAATAAAAAGTTAAACATTCTGGTTTCGACTACAGCCTCAGGTTAGCTGGATTCATTGCCGATTTGTGTCCCGCAGATAATTCTCTTTGGCGGGTGATTGCTGATGGCACCGCTTAGATAGAAAACGAACTGAAAACATGACCATATTCAAACTAGGCTACCCTTTCCGAAGCCCTGGGTAACCTTGGGCTCCCCAAAATGTAATCCCTAGTTCAAATTTGGCCTGGGTCCCAGGTTCGTAGTGGTTGTGTTCTACGTCATACTACGCCGTGAAAAAAACAATATCTAGTAGATAGAAAGTTAAACATTGTAAGTTTCAATCATCTGATTTGAAAATTAATGGGTTCACGTAATTTAGGTAATTTAATATCGTATATCGTATTTGCGACCCAAACGTACCATGCCGACAAACTTTCATTCTGTGAAGAGTTAGACGCGACGGTAATGGAAGTAAAAGCCATTCCTGGATTGGGCACCACAATTGACGTCATTCTCGTGAATGGTTGGCTTAGAGTCGGTGACATAATCGTTGTCACTGGTAGTGATGGCGCTATTATGACACCTATCAGAGAGCTCCTGATGCCGCAACCACTGAGAGAACTTCGAGTTAAGGTTAGTTTTGTTGTCCTAATAAAATCTGAACTAGTTTGACCCAGTTGCACATTACAAAGCACTACAATCAATCGTAGGAGGCATTCTTCAACCACAAAAAAAACGTTTCATAAAGGAGAAAGGAAGGAGTGGAGAACCCATTATTTACGAAGACTCGAGAAGGTTGTGATCGGGTTGTACCCCATTGCAGTTGCTCTATCAATCGCATATCACTATTATAAGAAGAAATTTCCATTGTCGACATGATCTCTGGAAATGAAGAAATACGATTTTGCCATCACAGCGTTTTCTGTTTTCGTGAGAATCGAATTTAGTAACTGAGTGAAGCATCAGTGAATGTAGCGGTATTGTCGAAAGGTCTCTGTGGAAGAATGAAGTGGGTAGGGCTGCCAATAAAATAAAATGAAGACGGAAATAATGCAAAATTTGTTACAATGGCGAGCCAATGGAACGGCACGATCAAAAACACCACTTATACGCATAATCACTGCCTTAAACATAGATGAAGAATCAGTGCTGGGACAGCAAGCAAAATGGTTGATCTTAGGGTTTTCAAAGAAATCATTGACTTGGGCTTGATAGTCCTTCCATGGTTTTGTAATTGAGCTGGTTTTGTGCTAACTTGTTTAGCTCCAGCCACAAAACGGTTGATAACCATCTTATGATATGCAACTGGCCCAGATAAAATCGAACTAGGCCTGGTGTATCTAACTTCAATTTTGGCTCTATATCGTGTTTCCTTCTTTCTTTAAAATGATTTTTCGAGATGTATACATCAGAACTTTTTTCCAGAATGAATACGGACATTATAAAGAAATACAAGGTGCACAAGGAGTGAAGATTCTAGCCAAAGGTTTGGAGAGAGCTTTAGCGGGTCTTCCGTTATTCGTTGCTCATAAGGAAGACGAAATTGATTTCCTGAAGTATTTTTGAACGTTATTAAGTTATTTATCTTGTGATAATTCTGTTTCAATTTTTAACACTTGAGGTATGAAGCTGAATCGCAACTAAGCCGAGCTCTTATGTCTATCAAGAAAAAACCCGAGGGTGTTTATGTGCAGGCAAGCACTCTTGGATCATTAGAAGCGCTCTTGGATTTCCTAAAAACCCAGAAGATACCAGTAAGTAATCTTTAACTTGCTTTTTTTTTTTTGAAAAAGCAGTTTTTTTGAGTGTTGGGTTCGTTGCGCCACATTCCGTTTAAATAGAAATCTTATATCAGTTTTTCAAAACGTTATAGAACGATAGTATTCAGTACTCGAATGTCAACATTGGGCCAGTGCACAAGAAAGATGTTCAGAAGGCTGCCGCTATGCTGGAGCATAGAGCTGAGTAAGTCTACTAGTGGTATCTGCTACAAATACATATAAAATGAAAAGCTTTTTCGCTAATAAGTCTATAAGGGATGCTCCAAACTTCAACTCTACTTAGCTTCGTAGAGGTGATTGAATTCATAGTTGCTTAATGCAATGATCGCTAGGACCTACGGATTTCTAAGCCAATGTTTTCATCCCCTCGAATAATCCTGTTACCACTTCAAAAGTAGACATGTGCTGCAATGCGCTTCTGCTCTGTACCCACCTTGCTAAAATCGTATATATATATGCATGTAACACATGTATATACATACATATATGTGCATATATGTATATACATGTGTTATATGCATACATACCCATGTATGTACTTGCAAGTGTATATACATATGTTTGTAAAAATATATGTATATATATGCAAACTTGGGAGCACATGTAGCGCAGTGGTTAAAAGTGCTACAGGTATACAAACATGATCATTGGTTCGATTTCTCGCCACCAACTTGTTAAGCTCTCCATCTCAATGGGGTCGTGAAATTAGTATCAGGTTGGTCTTGGGGATAACAGCACTGAACTAATACATCTGTGGGTCGCCGCAAGTCATTGTATACGTAAGATGTCCATCCAGTCGCTTCTAAGAATACTTGAAGTCGAATGCAATATGTATATATATATATATACATATATATGTATATGTAATATTGACACATATCTATATATGTACAATTATACCTGTTTGTATAACTGCTATAAGCATAGTCTCGATTTTCGTCCTAGATATGCCTGTATTCTGGCATTCGATGTGAAGGTGGAACGAGAGGCCCAACTGTTTGCGGATCAGGAGAAGGTGAAGATTTTCCAAGCGGATATTATTTACCATCTTGAGGACAGCTTTCTTAAATACAGGTATAGTTTACTGCAATAGAAGTTCTACATCTCAGTCGTTTCCATAATAAATAGTGTTAAATTATGATTAGTATTTTCTTTATACAATGGTTAGTGGTAAAAATAGGTTATAATGAAAGGAGACATACGATGGATTTCGTACGTTAATTTTTAAGGTAGGTGTGTTGCGGTACTTAATGCAAACGATTCTCTCGATATTTTTGTTTAGCAAGCACGAAGCGTTACTTTATTCTTTATTTCGATAAAGCCGACGTTTCGGCAATATCGCCTTTCTTAGACCCTGGAAAGGTATATTGATATGCAGTTTACTAAGCCATATACTTCAATAACACATACAGAAAGATGGTAGTCTAAATGGCAGTCACACGATCAACAGCTTCTCGAAAAATCCTCCGTTTATTATGTGCCTTCCACTGTGGAAGTACAGCTGATCGAAGTCACATATGGTTGATGACTTCACCATTCCACTTCAAAAATCAACGCGAAGATACGGGGCCAGATCGCGTGTGACCTCTAAGCATTCCTTCGTGCTATTCATTCTAGGGTTCCTTTATATCAAAATCTCTTCCGCTATGTTTTTGCATCGTATGCGTCCCTAGTGGGGTACTTTGTCTTGTTTTTCGTTTTCCATCTAAGTATTCTTTTATACGGATGCATAGTGGTTTCCTTCCAACGGTTTACCGCCTCATCGTGGCTGTGAGGCGTTCCTGGGTGTCGGACTGCGATGTACAGCGGAGGATTCATCCCATGGCATGGTCTCCCAAGCTGAGAAGGAGTCCGGCGTTTCCATCAGGAAGCCTAGCTAAGAGTAAACCAATACCATAATCGACCACCGTCCTGGTATCGAAGTTTCATGGTGATAAATCTCCCTCTGATCAACAAGGACTGCGACTGCCTGTGGTGGTGAAGACCTGGAGCAGACTTTGGCTAGGCTGACCTCGGGACTCCAAGGAACCATAATGGCTTAACCAGCAAATTTCCGAAAAGTGGAGATTGTGCTGGGGCCCGCACAACCAGTGAGGACGGGCCGTTCAAGTATCAATTGTCAAGTATAGTGGTTTCACTAATATATTTATCTCCAGAACTATTACCTGAGACCAGATGTTATGGTAACTGAACTCATGCAGTCACCATCCCAGCCATAAGGGCAAATTAAGCAGTTCAGGGTTTCACACAGACCGCCATACAGGCGGTTACAAAGTCACTGACGTTGAAGAATATCCTGTGGTATTTTTAATTTCGCAACCGATTCCTCCATACCCACTCTAAAGTTATCCCTTGGGATTACCACTTCGTAGCCACTGGAGATGGCTATTTGCCGAGTCAAATCGCGCAGTTTTCTCTTCAGTTCCCTCTTTTAGGGTGGTTTTATGATAAACTTTTATCGATAAATGCCAAGGACTGGAATGATAACAGGAAGGAATACTCGGAGATCACACATGATCTAGCTCCGTATTTTCGCATCCACTTTTGGTGTGGAGTGTTGCACTCATCAACCATATGCTACTCTGATCAGCTGTTCTTCCTCACCGGATGGTTCGTAAAAAACGGGTTTTTCGGGAGGCTGTTGATCGTGTGTTTGTCATTTAGATTTTCATCTTTCTGTTTGTTTATTGAAGCATTTAGCGCAGTAAATTGCACATCAATATACCCTTCCAGTCTCTGAAGAAAACGATGCAAGCGAAATTTACTGAACAAGAATATACAGAATTATTCGATCATTGCCGAGGTTAATAGAAAGTCGGCCATGGGAATTACTACAAGTGGTTTTTCTAGGGAAGGGGATGGCGCTATGGTTAGTGATGCTGTCGATCAGGAAGCAAACCCACTAGTTCTACCGCTTCCCCAGCGCTCTCCTCCATGTGGAATGCCCTAGTCCGGATGTCTTCAAAGTCGCAAAGAAAACCGGCTTGACCAGCATTCTACGACATTCATAGAAACAAGAACTCAGTCAGCAACCGAGGTAACATGTAAATGTTCGAAGACTACTTTGAACGATGAATGCGAGGAAAACGAATTAAATGCAAGCGCTGGAATCCGCACAGTAGATGTGATGATAGGTCGTGTAAAAGAAGCAAAGAACAGTTTTTCCACAATAGCTTTCAAGGAGGGTTGCACAGAGGTAAAGATGCTGTTCAATGTGCCCAAAGTTCTGGCTCTACGCTAACTAACTTTCCAGCCGTTGTTGGAAACTTGGTAGCAGTTTTACCTGGAAGGAAATTCCGATTTAGAAGGGATGACTGCTGCCTGAGATTACCTAGGAACGCCGTAGCACAGCTCTCAGTATTCCAGGGAGAATCAACTCGACAATCTTTCAACGGTGTTTACAAGAAGACCAGAAGTCCTCAAACAACAGCCGAACTTTTAAGATCTTAGATTATGAATGTTAGGGAACGAAATCGAATTAAAGAAGTGCTTGGATTCGCGCAATATATAAAAACGATTTGAATAACAAGTTGTCCCAACGGTTTACCGCCTCATCGTGGCTGGGAGGTATTCTTGGGTGTCGGACTGCGATGTACAGCGGGGATTCATCTCCTGGCAGGGTCTCACAAGCTGAGAAAGAGTCCGGCGTTTCCATCAGAAAGCCTAGCTAAGAGTAAACCAATACCAGGATCCACCACCTCACCGTCCTAGTATCAAAGTCGCATGGTGGTAAATCTCGCTTTGATCCACAAGGGCTGCGACTACCCGTGGTGGTGAAGACCTGGGGCAGACTTTGGCCAGGCTGACTTCGGGACTCTAGGGAATTGTAATGGCTTAGCCAGCAAATCTCCGAAAAATGGAGATTGTGCTGGGGCCCGCACAACCAGTGAGGATGGGCCATTCAAGTATCAAGTATCATAACAAGGTGTTAGGGCGATATTGTTCCTCATTTTGTACTGCAATTAATGAAAGTAGTTTCGCACAGACTTCTCTTAGCAAGCGAGTTCTCGTATCTACTACAAACATATTAGGAAACGTTACCAAAGACCGGTAAAATGTACATGGATGACATAGTAGTTGTTTTCATCACTCTCAACAAACGTCGTCTTTTTGGAGGTGGTAGTATTTGCATGTTCTTTCCGCTTTGGCTTGAGAATTTGGGATCCAGTTCCATGTTTGAGTATAGCTGCTTTACGCATATGAGGACCATGTCGGCATATGTTTTTGCTGGCCTCTGTGTGTCAGTCTGTCATCTTCTCTTATATAACTTTTCCATCTATGTTTCTTTCTCGAGATTCAATACATTTGGTTTTAGAGACATAGCATTCTTCGAAGGTCTCAACCACGAGAACTGGGTTCTTGTTGATTGTACCGGCTTTTCCATGTTCAGAAGACGTAGCCCCAAGTGACCTGTTGTATTGTACGCAACTTCAATATGGATGAAGTAGTAGCCAGTGTTTATGCTGCATGAAACAGAGCCGGAATAAGTGTTGCATCAATTAAATGGGGACGTCGGGATCAGTAAACTGATCAGTAGTTTTTGTTAGAAGTGCCAGCGTGGTCCTTGCTGCCTGTAATCTTATACCGAGCTCTTCTCTCAACTCGTCTATTCCTTTTTTATTTAGTGTTTCAGTACTCTACAGTCGTCGATCTCTCCGGAATATTCTTCTGTTTTATGCCATGCATTCTTCATGAATTGAGTCCTCTCCCATTTGTTGTGTAGTCAATTTTTTCTTTGCTTTGTTGAGCTCTGTAAAAGTGGGCTCTTATTCTGCGGAGTAATTCGAAAGGCAGTATTACTGTCGGAAAAAGGTCGAAGGTGGCATGTGCGTCAACATCTGGCCTTTCGTCGTTCTGCTCGAGCGACTTCCTGCACCAGCTTATCAAGGCGAGGCGTTGAACAGCCTTGACCATGCTGTGTTGCTCTCTCCTATTTCTTTACTATTTAGAATAGTGAGGATCTATGAAAAGGTGTATCGTCTTGGCATAATAAAGTCTTGCAGTCGGGAAGTATTTTTATGTAGGCCACATCTGCGAGGTTTCACAGAAGATTTAACGAGAAATAAAAATTTGATAGCAAAAGTATTGAAGATCGAAATTACAGAGAGAAAGTTAGAATAAACACAGGATTATAATTTAGTAAATTTCAAGCCATTTGCATTTCGTTCAATGGACACGGCGAGTAACGGAACGTTAGGCTTCGTCGCGAATGTATTAAGCAAAGTGCGGAAGTGAAGTAATTGTTAGTCTCCTTGATTAGCAGATACGAAATTGTTATAACAATATTTAGTCCTAGGTGATTTCAGTAGTTTCATATTCTGCAGAACCTGGAAGGGCCAAGCTAACACCCAATCTAATCATGTAAATGGTTCCGTAATCTCAGCAGAAAAAGCGCAGTATTGAAATACAAAAAGATACACAGTGCTTTACAAAAGACAACAGATGTGTAAGTGATATGAAGTAATAATACATGGTACCAAATAGTAGTAATACATATTACCTATACCACCTATCGTCCTGTTCATTGTAAAGTGGCTCGAGCCTGCGGCATTAAATCTTCCATTTTTCGCTGTCACGTGCAAGAGTAGCCCAGTGGGCACTGCTCGCTCTGTTAACTCGTTGAGCATCACGTTATTCTTCTAGGTTCTTCGTGGAGAACTCTGACTATCGAGTCGGTGGTCTTCCTGCAGCACGTTTGACGCCCGATGAATCCAGTCACTAGCTGCTCTTGTCCACCAGTTATCGTTCGTACTCGTTACATATCCGGTCCACCTTTCAGGCCGCTCCTGTCCTCCTGGTCAACTCTGGAATTGAGTCTTTCATTATTTTGATTTTCCTATACAGATAGACGTAACTAGAGCATTTGGAGACATTAGTACGGTTGAGTGTGAATGGAGCAAACGAAACCACGCCGTGCCTCACAAACCGTTTTTTTTGTGAGATTCAATCAAAGGCGAATCTTTCCACAATCGTTACGGAACTAGGCAAGCATTCGTTCCGTCTGGCTGATGTTTGGTGCTATACGGACGATGTCATCAGGAAAGCGATGATGGTGTAACTGCCAACCATCGATTTTCACTCCCATATTATCCCATTCCAATGTTCGCATGACGTCCTGTAGGGTGGCGGGAAATAATTTTGGCGAGATGGTATCGCCTTACCTAACACCTGTTTTGCCTTCAATGTTAATATCATTGTAGAATGGTAATATTTTTGTCGTGAAATTTTTGAAATAGCTCATGAACAGTATTTCTGTACTGATTAAGGACGCAATGACTATGAAGTTTCCATGCGTTACTCTATGCCAGCTATGTCAAAAGCTCTCTTTAAATCGGTGAAAGTGAGGCAAAGCGGCCTGTTGTATTCTGGCAATACATCAGTAAGTCTTGTCTTCGTGTGGGTGTGCTCCATCATACTGAGTCCTTCTCGAAGCAGTGCTTGCTCATATGGCTGTCCTTTGTCCAGTGTTATTGTCAATCCTGTTTGTAATTACTGAAGATATAATGCAGGAAAAGCGGAAAGCCGATTGTCGATGTCGTGGAGATAAACTTAAACAATAATGCAGTCGTTTTGGTTTGCTTTTTAATAGGAACCTTGCATTCTGACAAGTAATGTGTTAAAAGTTGAGCGAATGTGTTCGTTACTGACGATAGCTTCCTCAGTTGGTCAGGTGTTAACCTATCTAGACTAGGAGGTCAGCTCTTCGTCGATAAAATAGTATGTCGCATTTCGGCTAAAGTGGAGTCGGTGGATGACATATCTATTTTCCTTAATTTCATATAAGATCAGGAGGATGTAAGTTCTGAAGAGATCCGAGTAGTGATCACGAATGATTTTATCTTTTCTACGGAATGCATTTTGGTGTTGGCGAAGCATCGGTAGGGTTTGTGAATGTTTTTCCAATCTCTGCAGCTGCGACGAAAATGTTGCTGTTCTCTCTTTAAGATCTTTTATCACCTGTCTGCATTGTTTTGCGCGTTCGGATGTGGTTTAACGGTTGCCTATAGCTTGTGCGACTCCATTTTGACGTATCAACGCGAGTGTTTCTGGTAGCACTAACGTGAAGATATTGAATCAGCCGATCGAATTCCTCGTCGATGTTATCGAGAACGCCATCTTCCCAACAGCGGACTGATGAACTGGAAAAATCCCAGTTTATTGTGGTTTCGTGACTACGTTTTTGAATTTAGCGGCTTTTTCTCCTTTACGCGAGAAATGGAATGTTGCGTGAAGGAAGCGGTGGTTTGGTCCCGTGTAGAATTTTGGGACAACAGCGACATCGGTTAGGCAAAACCTATTTAATATGATGTGGTCTATTTCGTTATGGTACATTTCATTGGGAGGCTCCCACGTCCAGCGCTGAGGGTGGAGCTTCTGGAGTTGCGATTTGCCATGGATGGTCTTGGCGGTCATGAAAAACTCAGGCAGTCGCTGGCCTTGTTCACTTCATTCTTATTTATGGGTCCCAATGCGATGTTCTTCAGTCGTTTTTCTGGGTCTAATCTTAGCGTTAAAATCTCCATTGATGACCTTGAATAATGTATGGTCTTCTGTGTAGAATTTCTCTAAGTCCATATGGAACGCTTCGACTTCTTTTTCGTCATAGTTTGATGTCGGTGCGTAAACGACGAAGATTTTCAAAGCCGTTATTTATCCACATCTCAAGCCATAAGCATGCAATGTGGGTAATTAGTTGGTCGAATGTAACAATGTGTATGGCCAAACTCATTTTGATGAAAACGCCGATGCTGCCTGCTGCTTTATTGACACATATTCCAAGAAGCAGTTTTTCTTCGGTCTCGTAGACGGCGTCTTCTCATCTTGGCGATTCGGACGACGTCGTGTCCTATGATTCTTGCCTGCATGATCACGTCCGTTATCGGGAACTCAGATAAAAATGAGTGTGCATTGTGAGTACAAATCGTCACCTTACTCTGCGATTTGGGCAAGCTAGGTAGCTCTGAGGTTTTAGCAGCCTCTGCGTTCTCGTCCTATCCAGCGCTACTGTGTCGAGGGCTCTTTCGGGGCCAGAGAAATGAGAGGCACCTATTTTACTAGGTTTCCGATTTAAAATCCACGTGTAGCATGTTGAGCTTTAAATGTCTGGATTGGAGATACACACGAGTAGCTTGCCAGTCTCTCTGAGTAGCCGAAGAGCCAACTTGTTGAGTGCTACTCCTAACCGCCTCCCATATACTTCCCTGTCACTTGATTGCAGACTTTCGGACGATTTAACTCATAGGGTACAATCCGTATAAAGGAGAACACTCCCACGCCCGCTTGTATGAGTACGTTCTTTGTAAACACAGAAGATATGTGCTAAATCAGCATTTCTCCATTGATGACCTTGATTGGAGATACACACGAGTAGCGTGTGCCATCCGGCAAGTGCCACATTATCTCGCAATTAAACGACTTAAGATCCTTTTATGGAGTAATATATAGTGGTGAATAATGTTAGACAATAAGGACAACAGCGTGTGTTCGTTCACCATCGCATACACCTGCGGTCCGGAATTTTGCAAATATCTCAGCATTATATACGAGTTATATTTCGCGACATACCCTGCCATTAAAAAGAAAAAGGCAGTAAATAAAATGGTTAAGATTATTAGACAATATTCAACATGCATTGAAAGGATTGTCCAGGGAAGAACTGCGGTTACGAGCCCGAAAAGAGAACGAGCACTTAGCGATCTTCCCTTGCAAGTTGCGGATCTTGCCACAAAATGTATTCAACGCACGCAACCCCATTGTTTGTGGAGTTAGTGTTGAAGCTGGTCAACTCAAGCGAGGCACACCGATTTGTGTACCAAGTAGAGACGTAAGTGGTAGATTTCCATACCGAGCCTTTGTATTGTTGAATATTTTCTCTTTAGTGTGTTTTCCTTGGTACTGTAGCATCAATTGAAAGGAACCATGAAGAAATGCAACTGGCCAAAACAGGAGATGAGGTAGGTACCATAAATTTTAGGACGAATGCAGTTCTACCACTTCCTTTTCATTCCTATAAAGTGCCTGTATTAAGTGACTGAATTATCAGGATGGATGTTTAATGTATTGTTCAAAATTCAGTACAGGATGTTGCCACCATTTCTTTCTTTTCCTCTATTCCGATTGTATTTTCTTTTATTACGATATTGTGATGAATCCTGATATAATTAGTACCTTCCCCGTAATCGTCACCGCTGCAAGGGTGCTGCCCTTATTTACTGTCATTTTACAGGTTTGCATAAAAATTGAGAATACTACTGGCGAAGCGCCGAAGTTATATGGACGACATTTCAATCATGAAGACATACTAGTCAGCAGGGTAAGTGCGTCCCTGTCATCATTATTGTTTGCACCAACTAAATTACTTGTTCAGATCTCTCGTGATTCAATAGATGCTTGCAAAACGTACTTCCGTGATGACCTAAGCCGTGCAGATTGGCAGTTAGTTGTAGAATTAAAACGTCTCCTTGATATACTGTAAACATGTGGTCGTTAGCTTATTGTCAGCTTCCAAATACTGAGATGGTCCAGCTACCGTTGACTGCTGCTGTCCTACATGTTTTCCTTCCTGCTTTTGTTTTTTGGTGTTGATACCGATGTGTAGCCTTACCACAACTTTATTGCTGTTGCCAGCAGTACAGTACTACTGCATCTTCACTAGTTCCATTGTCGTAACGCTGGTCCTATTAACATCGTTCGGTCCTACTCGGTGAGATATGTACTCAGATTTTGTTGCATATATTTCTACGATCATTCGTCAACTTCGCAAATGGTGATTATTGTTGAATGTACTAGTTTCTCATTGTGATCCTTCCTTCCGAAGCCATTATTGAAAATTTCCAGGAGAAAATTTTCAAGGATATTAGAAGTCTTTTCGCTGTAAAAAAAACTATGGAAATTGAATGGGAAACCAGATCACGCAATTTTGCACGGCCTCGCTTCTTTCGCCTCAGAATCATTACGAAACCATTTAAAAGTAGAAGAGTTGCGTGAGCTGAACCATAAGCATACTAATGTTGAACGGATATTCTCCAAACTATCATTCCTTATTCGTTTGGACATGGTTCCATCAATGTTATGAATTTTTCCAAAGGCTTTATTATACGAAGTGATCTCTGAGATGAACTGTGTGAAACTTAAGTACAGGCTTACATTTCGAGTTTCTTATGGTATAAGCGGAAACATATAGGAGAACACGACTGACATGCAACCTATATAAGAGCGTTAAAAAAAAGGAAGGAAAGATAGTACAATATGACAACTGGGGTACTTGCAAATAGAAGGTGCATGTATCACATATCCTCGTATACCCGCAAAATATTCCATCATACAACAATGTTCAACTGCTTACGAGGAAAATGTTAGACTGAACGTAAATTTTTCTCACATGATGACCACATTGTACCCACAACCTTCACAATGTAACGCAAGTTTGTCACCAATTTCCGTCGGTCGTGGCTGACCACCGCATCCTGCTGCTTCATGCGTCATAAAACCCTCTGACAGTAATCGCTTCAGTTCGGACTGCGTAGGCGGTGTTGATTTGTCGTCAAAGTGATGAAAAAATGGGCAACCCTGAATTGTACTATCAATTAAACGTCATTACTCAACTTTTTTGACTGTTACTTGATACTTGATACTTGAACGGCTCATCATCACTAGTCGTGCGTGCCCCAGCACAATCACCATTTTTCGGAGATTTGCTTGTTAAGCCATTGTGGTTCCCTGGAATTCCGAGGACAGCCTGGCCAAAGTCTGCTCCAGGTCGTCACCACAACAGGCAGTCGCAGCCCTTATGGGTCAGAGGGAGATCTTGATCTTGAGTGTTATTTTCATAAAAAAGGTACAGTCAGTAAGCAGCAACACACAGGTAGGAAAAACTGAGTATCGATCATATCGTATTTCCTAAACAATAGCAGTTCTTTCACATTGCTCTAGAAATATATTAGACATCTACAATGAAGAGTGAAGGTCATTGAGAAAACGCACGAGTGTATACAGCAGCAGGGAATTGTACAAAATTTTCTTCTACATGTAACTTCTCAAGAGCTGTTTATTTTACAACATAATTATAGCAACTATCCCCAGAATAGTTACTATTTCTGTATGTTTCTGTAGTAGCGATCATATCTACTGTTTCTCAAGTTGCCTGGCAAATGTCGTAGTACGTGAATATTTTGATCCCATCCTAACGAACTTCGCATAGAGAATTTCTATATCAAATAGTGAATTCTCTATTTTAACCGTTTTATTTACCACCTATTCTTTTTTAACCGCAGGGTGTACATTGCGAAATATAGCCTTAATGATGCTGAGATATTTGCAAAACTCCGGACCGCGGGTGTCTGCGGTGGGGAACGAACGCGGTATTGTCCTTTCCGGGGAGTAACGCGTTCACCACCACACCATACGGGTCCTTCGTTTCGCGTGTCTCTCAGCTAGTTCTATTGATCTTTTACCATCAGCAATCACCCGTCCGCGGGGTTGATCTGGGGAACTAGCTGAGAGACAAGCGAAACAAAGGACTAGCATGGTGTTGTGGTGAACGTGTTACTCCCCGGAAAGGACAACACCGCGTTCGTTCCCCACCGCAGACACCTGCATTCCGGAGTTTTGCAAATATCTCAACATCATTAAAGTGAATTCTCTATCCACCTAACAAACACATTCAATAAGTCAATAGAGACGGCTTTTGACACAACGCCACTAGACACAGCATCTCGTAACCATCAGCACACCGCCAGGCATGCTATTGGGTACGTCTCATTGCTTGGGGAATAGACCCAACGACCCGAGCCTTGACCCTACGACCAACGACACTCGCTTGGACGTAGCCACACCCAGTAGCACGGTCTTTTTTGGCAGTCTCTATCGAGTCCTAGATTCGGCTTTATTGCTTTATTCTTACGCCAGTATTTTCCCATAGTTATCCCTGCTGTATTGGTGTTGTACATAAAGGTTTAATCCCAGTATCGAAAGGTACTGCCCTGTGTCAACTACGAAAAGTCCCGCGTAGCGTCTTCTCACGAAGTCGAGCATTCTGCTTAAAGCAAGGTGCCGAGAACTGACTCGAAGGCCTATTTCCCGCTAACAACTGATAATAATATCGTTATTGGAAATCCCTTCCTTTACAACTTCTTCAACTTTAGAGCGCGTAAATGATATATTTATTTATACTGTTTCAAAGCTAGGGCTCAAATTACGTGCCTGACATTTGGCGGACCTTTCGTCAACGGATAACGGCGAAAGCAAACATGACGGACAGTATACTGAAGGATTCATAAACTCGTCTACGTCAGCGGCTAGCCGTTCCTCTTCAGTACGATGAATATCTTCATACTCTAAAAAAGGTGCACTAGTAAATTCAGGATGAAGAAAAGTAGACTAAGCATCTAAATACTAGCTTTCCACATAATGTACATCGTAATGCAAATACAATGACAATAGCGCTACATACGTTCTTGAATAAGGGAATTTGTTATCGACTCGTACAACTCGAGTAACACATTCTCATCCAAATCGCCAAAATCTGATTTCACCTCCGCACTAACCTGCAATGAAAACAAAACAATGATTGGTGAAATTGTTATTACTGATAATCTTAACCTCCAAAATATGACAAAACATAGAGAATAGAACTACAAAATCCACTAATAGCCTTCTCTATTCACACCTAATGAAAAAGGATAAAGCCTGGTGTTCATCAATCCCTGAGAGATGCGCCATGCACCATTCATCAGGCACCGTTAAAGGTGAATGAAGAGATATCTGTAGTATACACTGACTCGCGATGGCCCACCGATATATGGGGTCTGTGTTGTCATCCTCCCTGACGAGTCTGGTACCAATTTGCCGCGCCCCGACGGATGGGAAGTTGGGTGAGCCTGGAGCACTAGGATCCACCACATGTATACTGCATAGTGCCTCTGAGCACTGCGCTACATGCAGCTCTCTATGGTTAGGTATTAGTCGCAGAGCGGAAGGACTTACTCCAACTCACAAGGTATTAGTGCCTGTTTGCGCTAAAGATTTGAGAAGCCTTTGCACGCCATATTCCAGAGAAAAGCATTTCGCCCACATGAAACGTGTTCGGAAAGATGGCATCACTTGATCTAAAAAGTAACGGTGCACCTACGACATGTCACGGAGACAGCTTCCAATTATGTACAGATAACGCCAGAACAGTTTCACCATAATACCACTTTCATCTTCCAGGTATTGCATACCATATCAAATACATCATGGAGAAGAACGCTGCCATTCAGTCAAATAAACGATGAAACCATTCTCGTATTAGGTGAGAAGACATCACCGTGTAATTCTCCAGACGTTTTTTTTTCGCGCACACATTCATTGCTCGCCTCCTCGACTCAGGAAATTCATTCTCGCCGCTTTGCCATCATAGATGTTCCTTGCATGTTTAAGCCAGATATATCTACAAATAAAATCAACTCTCCAATTCCCAAACTGTAGCACGTACGAAGTTGGCGGCCACCATAACAGACGATCCAACTGTGAAACTATGTATACAAATACATCTCAAAATATGACCTTAATGAGAAAATAAAAGCGCAGTGGTAATGATCCCGTTCGCTACCAGAAGACCCAGCTTACATAAGCACTTGTTCCATCCCATACCGGGTCCACCAAGCTTCTCATCTCTCAGGATTCAGGAAATTGGTACCAAATTTGTCTAGGACAAGCTCATTCCCTCTAATCCACGCAGCATCTCCTGGCACGGCGACTTCAGGATTCGAGGGAGAATCAACTTCGAGGAGCATTAAATGATATGCATAACGAAGACGAAAAAATCCTCAAGCAGCAGTTGACACCAGATGCAAAAAAAGTTGGAAGAGCCTAGCGGATGGTGGCTGGATGCAAGGAAACGAATGCAAGAAGTGAAGCAATCAGCACAGTGTGACAATACGAGTCATGCTATGTAATAAAAAAAACAATGTCTTGTTATGTAACAAGAAACTGAGTAAAAAGTAATAAGCAAAAAAAAATAAGCGTCTGTAAATGTGATGAGGATTCTTGTGTTTCCCATTTCTAATCTGAAAGGTCCCTATTGCGTTATACAAATGCACTCACGCTTGTAAGAAATAACCATTCGGTTTCTTTTCTGAAATGGGAAAATATAATTGAAACGTTTAACGTGTTCGATTGTCTGACTCCACCTTAACGGTATCCATTATATCTGATGGTAAAACAAAATAAAAGGTATCAAATGATGAGGAATAAAACGCTTTGGCCATTAACCACTAATCCTTCACGGAATAGCTTGTAGGATTGCTTTAGTTACATTTCAGCTGCGAGCACTAAAAATCAATTGCTTGTACGAAAAACATGATACTCTGTATTCTTTGGGCGAAAAAACACTTTGCAAGCTAAAACATAACAGGGAAAACCAGAGACTAATACTTACTTCAATGACAGCGATTTAGAGGAAGACACGTAGATAATGTTAGCTATTGTAAAATCATAATGATTTTAGAAAGTCATAGGGGGTAATTCACTGTTTTCCCCTATGCATGTGTTCAATACCAACTAACCAGGATGTGAAAGACAGAAAGAATAGTAAACGGCAAAGCTGAACTGCAAAGAATGCAATCTCCAAGCCAGTGTACTTAATTTACAGATTGGATTTGGTTAAAAAGGTGACACTAAGAAGCCATTATCTGTAAGATATGTAATGATGAGATGGTAGTGAATGTAGTAGGGATATCCTAAGCCTAAATCTATAGTTTCAGAAAGTTTAAACTTTATTTTTTGTTCTCTCACAACGACGTCTAAAATAAAATATTCAAAGTCTTACCGTTTCGCGCACAATACACTCCATGTTACGTCGGGATGCGAACTGGTTCATTCGTTTCTCTCTCAATTTCTCAGCGCACTTCTGAATTCCGCACGTAAAAAAAGTGTAAACGTAACGGCTAGAAAAATAAAATCAAATCATCGTTTCATGCACAAATATCTGGGTACTTACGTCGATATTTTAATACTTATGTCATTAAGCGCATCATGTTGTTTCAATATATTTACAACAACAAAAGAACGAAAAGTCCACTTAAGGGACTCAACGTTCATTTGTGCTCTTCAGATCATTGCCGTTAGCAAGATGAGTGCATGATAGCACCGCTACTGTAAAAAATGGCTAAGCGAAAGGCAAAGCGAAGGCGTCGGTGGTGCTGAAGATAACACGTGAGCCTCCGGAAAGGGTAATCACGAGAAAAAGGCATGTTCTACGACTAAATGAATGGCTTTAGAACATTTACATGGATGATCGTTAATTTCAATGCACTTTTTTCTGTAGTTTTTGTATTCAACGGGTGGAATTTCAGATGGCACACCAAATAAAGAACATTGATTTCTACAGTTCACAAAAATTGCTTCTTTTCAGCAGCTTTGTCCGACCTCTGCAAATACTATTGTTGGCAAGATAGACACCATACTGTTTCTTGCCGCGCAAGCAAACACCTATGTCGCGCATTAATTCCTTGCCTTTCGTACAAAGTGGGTAACACAGACATCCCAACAAGATTGAGAGCGAAAGTCATTGACACATTCCAGTAATTAATAAAGTAAATAGTACTAAGCAATTCATACCAGTAACTAAATATCAGTCGCAAAACAAGGAATCGAAAAGGAAGCACAGGTCTAACCTTTTTAAGAGCATCCCGAATCATGTGACTTCGCTCGGTGTTCTTGAATAGATACAAGCGATTCGACGCGAGTGTCGACATTTCCTGAAATGCTGAACCTTCAACAATTTCTCGTAGTTATGAAGAAACATACTTATGAGACAAGCAGAACGATAATATACGAATGAATAGCACGATCACAACACTGTACCAAAATTACACGAAAAAGTATCCAAGTATGGCAGTGGTATCCGGAAATGCAAAAGCAACAAGCATGATTGACTGGAGACGTCGCATGATTGTGCAGTATTTTTCATAATATAACTTAACTTCGATGAAACGCACACTGGCGAAAGACTTCTCTGATCACAATGTACTCGTTCACAAATATTTCGTACAGAAAATCGTTAAAATGAAAATAGCTCAACGGTAAGCTTTAAAACAGGCACCGTTCCGAAGTAAAAGCGTTAGCAGGCACACCTGCATATTCTTTTAGAACGAAACTGATGCATCCATTCCTCAATATTCCGCAGGATACTTATAATTAACTGGTATCCTGATGTAATCTAGAAATCGGCAGCTTACAAGGACTGGCATAAAATCGGATCTCGAAGAAGAAGAAAGTCAAAGTTCAACTATATTCGACTATTCTAAGAAAGCACTGCAAAAACTGCTTAATGCAGTTCTCAGTATGTACTTTGCATAGATATAGTCGAATAACGAAACGGTACAAGCTTCTACAAGATAACTTTCAACTACTCATGATCTCACTAGTATCTTTACAGCAGAAATATCGAAAATATTGTGAATCCTAGCGATTTTAACGAATTCAACCATGCTTCAACGTGGTTTCCTGAAATAATAAACTTAACCATAGAATATTAAGTAGTACCACTCGTAACAGCATGGCTCCGAGGACGGCGAAATCGCCGAAACGTCAGCTATCGACAACAACAACAACGCCAACGACAACGAAGACCTATGTCAACCTCGCATCAGCTTAAGAAGATCAGTTTATAAGATCAAATAAATAAACATATCTACTATCTATGCCGAGATTTATAGAAAGTCGGTCGCTTGAGAATATTAAGTGTTCTAACGCAGAAACATCACCAGCTTATACGAAATAGAATATCCAAAAACACAAATCTAAGAGAACAGTGACCGAAAATTCAACATAAAGTCGAAATCGGAACTTCAAGGTGACGAATTTCAACAAAATCTTAAAATAGTAAACTTTTAAAAGCACTAGTAGAAAAGCAACAATGCGCATTGACTTCGATGTGTATAACTAAAAACCATTCATTCTTATAACACCACTCCCGTTGTTGGTGATTTTCGATAGCTAAAGCACTTGACGAACCAAGTACTTGACAGACTTACACTGGACTAGCAAAACCAAAATTATCATTAACAGACGATTAAAGTCAATATTAATGAATGTTTGATAATTCTAGATGCGAGTGCATCAGAAATGAATGACGTCTCCGGAGACAATTTCGCGTCCTCCTGAACAAGATTACGTCCATTCAAAGCTTTGATGAGGTTACGATCTTTGGCAAGAAAAAGATCAATAGGCTACGGGAAATAAAAACGTCATAGTAGAAAACTTGAACTGTATTACTATTAGAAAAAATGCAGATCCCAATGGATTAAATTTCAATTACTCCAGTCCACTGCAAGTAACGGATTCTTAAAGTTAGAAAACCGAGAAATTTCCGGTCACGCATGAGTCACATCATAGCAAGAAGTGTTAGACAAGCACATCTCAGCTCAGACTGAACGTTACTAAGAGGAATAAAAAGTACTGGAACCTATATATCCATGTCAGCAAATTTTTTTTATCCTACCACGACAAAAATACTCCGCCCAAGGCGATTCCTCCGACTTCGCCGTTGATACTCGCTGCTACCCAGATCCGTGCTAAAAACTGAACTTGAATTTCACACGAACTGAAAAATAGACGGAATCCTTGGCAAAGCACATGTACCTTTCGCGCAAAAATATCGTCTGCGATCAAGACTTTTGGCTTATCGATGTCCTTAAACGAAGCTGTTATAAAATTTTACCTGTCTCAGCGTCTTCTTCTCCAAAACCGCTACCATTCCAAACGAATGTCCACAGCTGGTAGGTCTTGCGATATGGTTCTCATCTGTATAGCCCCGTAACAGCCTCAAAATATCAGCACCAGGTGACTGAATAATTAACAGCGATCACTGCAATCGCACAACGAGAATGCGTTACACCTTCCGTATATAGCTAACAGGTTCATGCAAATGCGCCGTCGCTTTTTAATCTTTAAATTTTCAATTACGTATATCATCCTTCACAGTAAACTTTGCTACTCCAAAAGACCATTGGAACCTGTTTTTGGAAGAATAAAAAGTTATCTCGCTACGAAAAAAGATATTCTAACTAACATCAACGTCGTGAGGATGTTTGCAGCGCCGGTTTTTTGTCGCCAAAACGTAATTCTCGTGGTAAATGAAAAAGCAACCAGTTGGCTGAACAACGGCCAAATGCGTATCTGTCAACGCGTGCTGGTAATATGGCACTTTGTATGTGATTGCTCAACAGAATTTATTCCTTGCCATTGGTTAACACTGCTCAAACATGGGTAGTGGTTCCTACCTCGTCCATTTCTTGAACGCAGCTCTTCGATGCAGTCATTTCGCAAGGATTCCAGTGGCTATTATGGTGGATGATTTCACCAGCTGAGAACAGAAATTAATCACTACCCTTTTCTAAGGCAAATTTTGCTTCGGAAACAATCTAGTGCTTCCTCTCCGTCTTTCATAAAATGTCGTTGCTTATAGTAGATAATCCATCTCTGGTCGCACAATGGAAACAAAGTCGACCCTTCATCCCTCGCGAACAACGCGCAGTTGGTCAGACGACAACTTTATATGTCTTTTCAACAAGTCTGAGGTGGTCAAAAAATACTGTCATGTACTACCCTTACGCTGTCATCCTTACGCTTCACATTTCGTCACGAAACTACCCCGAATTAGCATGTCATCCCACGGATATTAACTGGTCCCTGGGAAAACGAGATGCTGATACTGCGAGCAATTTTCGTGACCCGTTCACGCTTAATTCATAGGAAAAACGATCAAATCTTCTTTTTCGTTCTTATTCATTAGTCCTAGTTCAGTGCAAGAAAAAAGACATCAACACAGAAATCTGGAGCGAAATCTGCGCTTTAAAATAACACGTAGTTAACAAGTACCACATGCCATAAAACTTTATTAGAAAATAAAGTCCGCATCCGCAAATTAAGTGAAGAAAACTTTAATTTTAAACATCGTAGTGACTTCAGTTTCATAAAAAGAGAAATGATGCATACATTGTGAGAAGACTTAATCACATTACTCACTGAAACAACCCTCTATACAGATCGTTTGCCGATGACATCATGAAGAAAAACAGTACAAAGGAGGTGGACATAAAACTAACAATTTACTACTTTCAATCTAATAAATATGACGAAACAGTACAAAAAAAATAATGTGGTTTTAAAATCTGTGGCTAAATATGCATAATTTCCAGAAGATTATTGTCGTGCTTCCATAGCGACACTCCAAAAAAGTTCGTTAGAGTACTTAAACTTGTGAGAAAGCGCTCTATCAGCTGTAATAATGTTGTTGGGGCATCTGTGGAATTCCATAAGTAGACAGTGTTTGCTGCAAATCCACAACATCTTGATTGTAGCGATATTGCTGCTGACTCATAATCTCTCTCCCGGACCAATATTGCTGGGGTGGCTGTTGTTGTAATAGTGCGTTCTGTTCTACAAGGGAACTCATAAAAGGCTGGGGAAGAGGTTGTGGCCATGAAAAAGGAATGCCCTGAACCCGCTTAAAACTACCACTTCTACTTTGTTCCATACTCGATTCTTCTTGTTTCGAAATTTCATGCTGCATAGATGTAGCACTTGGCAATGCTTCCCCGTTGGGAAGGATCGTTCTCGCTAACGGCATCTTCTGGCCAGATGCAATAGGTGTCTTCAAATTATTTTCGTCATCACGTTTGTAGTTACTATGCATTTTCGAAGATTTTCCAAAGTCGACGTTGAATGGTGAAGGTCCACTGATCACCTCGGCCAAACAATCCCAATCATCATCATCATCGATACCACCAACATTCTCTTCGGCGGCCTGTTTTCTAAGTTGCTTACTATTTTCGAATAACTGTTCACGACTTCCTGACGCCTTTTCATCCTGAGTAGTAACAGAAGATGGCAACGCGGCTCTAGCGTTGGATGCAAGTCCTGTTTGATTAGTGCTCTCACTAGCTCCAATGGAATTTGAACCTGGATAGATATATGGGATTGTCTCGGTTCCTTGGAACATATCGTCTCGATTAGTGATGACAAACGGTGGTGACCTCACGATTGGCGATAGTTGCCTTGCCGATTCTAGCTTGCCTAGTGAACGTTTCACCTCATCTAGAAGAGTTTGTGTCAGAGATGGACGAGCCGATTGCGGTGTGAGATGGTGCGGTTGAGAATTAAAGAATCCACCACCAAGGATCGAAGAACTTGTTTGCAACGGCAAATTTTCTGGATTAATTATACCAAATGACTGAAGTTCGATTGCCGCTCTATTACTGGTCTCATTGTTTTGAGAAATCTGCGAACAGAGCTGAGCAAGAAGCTGATCACTAGAGTCTATAGACTTCTTCAGACCCACCTCTTTGTATAGTTTATCGACCATAGATTTATCTAAGCTACCACACCTCTCCGCTTCCTGTTGCATGGTGATGAGCACACCTAGTAACTTCCGCATCTGGGCTTTCTCATCGGACTCAGTGATCGTCCTTAACTCTTGTAATTTCTTTAAACGCTCTTGATGCTCCAAAAATTCCTTCACCATTGAAGAGGTGTGCGCAGTAGGCTGTGATTCTGTAGTGTTTCTCCACTGTTTCAGCTTCTCATCAACAACATTAGTATTACCTGATGGCTGCGATACAAGCGCTGCACCTTTCCGATCACCGAGCTTTGTCAGAAAAGCAGCAGCACTTGCTTCCCACGACAAGCCTGAATTTTCAACTGCATTTGCAATTTTTGAACGGCTTCTAGTACGTTTGCTAGTCCGCCTGCTATAAGACATGGTGACGCGTGATCGACTTCGTCTATGACTTCTACTGCGCGATCCACTACGATGGCGACTATGTTTCGAATAGTTACAACTGAGATCACGCAAGCGCTTGTGGCTATGACTCCTACGCCTTTCCAGACTTCGGCTACGATGACGTTTTCGATCAGGCGATGTTTGCCTTCGATTATTCCCTTGCTTCGGCTTTTCGAATGTTGGCAGATGCTTTCTCGAATGAAGGCTGTAAGTTACTCATAAAGAAATTCAGCATTCATAACGAGTACTCATGAAGAAGAAATCATAGAAACAATACCTTTCCTCTTTTTCTCTTTCATCTTTTTCCTTCCCTCTTTTCTTGGGAATGGGATAATGTTTATCTCTTTTTTTCACACTGATACTTTCCACGAACTGCTTTTTGTCCTTGTATTTTTCTTTTTCTTTCAACTTAACAGATTCCTCATCAATTAGGTTCAATACCTTCTTGGAAATGGGTGGCGGCACTTCAACACGACCTACTGTTATACCTGAAAGTTAATAAATGACAGATTTTTGGGAATCTTTCCTAGAAGAATGCAAGGCATCGAAAGCGATTTGACAATGGGAACAGAAATCGAGGCTGCAGAAAAAGATCGAGACTTATGAGAATTACGGTCAAGTTATATCACGACTCAAGAAAATTACAATCCTAACGCACTTTTAATTTCTAACCTTTTGACGGATTTGTGCTTTCTAAAGCACTCTGCAGAACCATAAAACAAAAAGCATACTTGTGCAAAGCCATACCTTCGTCCTTCCAAGAATGATCGAGAATGGTGGTACATTCGGGCCAGATTCGCTCAATCGTTGCACGATCGAGTAAAGATCGTAAACGGTTAGAAACTTTTCCTGGTGGTTGTTCCATCTATTGAAACGATACATTATGCTTCAAAAAAAAAATAAACAATTGAAAAAGGTACCTTCCAAATTTTTATGGCGAACTGATTAAGCATGGCAGATCGAGCAAGAAAGTTCGACTCTGATACAATCGTTTGATGGTACATTTTGTAATTGCGAAACTACAAAAATCATTTAAAAGTGCATACAAAGCATAACATGTGTAGACCTATATAACATATAACATATATAGTACATAATATGCAACAAAATGAAAAAATACAAACATAAAAATGTTCCCTTAGAAGATATGAAAAATCCCATATGTAATGCCAACCAAATAAGCCAATTTGTGACCGGTAGTCTCCAAATGTTCAAACATATCGTTGGGCGTGGTCCACACTCCACACATAGAGCAATAAAATGTGTCCAAATCAGAACAATCCACACAGACCACCTGCACAGTAAACGAAGTAAAAGCGCGATAAGAAAAACACTTGTGAAAACAAGAATCATTTAAAGAGAATGGTTCCGCAAGTAAACTCCTCATAGTATCATTATGAAACGTCATTAAGAAAAAACCTACCTCATAAAGAGAATCAATTCCAAGCACACCTTCGATTTCGGCCGCTTTCTGGTTGAATTTAACGGGCAATTCGTTAATTGGAATACGCTCTGCTCCCTGTCTCCAAACTAAATAATAGACGTACTAAAAAACCCTCTTGAGTAGTACTTGAGTCACTTAAATAGTGCCAAGCGAAGATTACTGGTTCGGTAGCCATCTCATCCTCACAGGAAGAGATGAAAAACAAAAAGAAACGTCGAATTCAAAGTTCGCATACAAACTCACTAAAATCAACAAGCTGATCTCGAGTCTGAATTATATTTCCGTTTGAAATATATGGATCCACTTTTCTGTCCCGAAGAGATGGGCGAAATGTCGTATCTTGGCATACAAGCTCTGACTGTTTAACCTTCAAACCAATGACCGTTCTAGCCTCTTTTACTCTTGTTTGTTCCTCAGAAGTGCTAGCTATTGGGACGAATGGCTTAGATACTGTTTGTGAAACGCTTTCCTGAGATTTCCACATTCCGCTAGGCGAGATACTGAATGGAGGAGTGGGAGGTAGTACTGGACCAATGCGCATATTTGGCGAGTCAGGTCCCAGAAAACATAACTGCTGATGTAATTCACGTGGTTTGTTAATGGGATAGGTTGGATGTCCTCCCATATGAAAAGAGGATCTGGAATCCTGCTCAAGAGCGGGAATTTTATGTAGCACAACGGTATCTTCATGACATCTTTCCAGTTCATGTATTTTTCGCTCAAGCATATCCTTTTCTTCCAAAAGGTGACGTTGGGTTGCTTCCTTCACCTGCAGAGCTTTCAAGCGCTGCTTTTCTTGAACTAGTAGCATGCGAAGTTCATCTTGCCTTCTTAAACGTTCTGCTTCCATAACTTCTCTCTCACTCTCTTCCATAGTTTGCTTTTCGTCCTTCGCTTTACGAGCAGCCTCTTTATGTAGGTTCAGCATGTTAACTTCTTCTTCAGGGCGTTTAGTACGCCCATGAATCCCTTTTTCCTTGCGACCTCGCTCAGCAAGCTTTCTTTCCTCTTGATGAGTTTCAACCTCACACTGTTTTCGATGCTTCTCTTCGTTCCTCAGCCGCTGTTGTTCTGCATGCTTAACTTCTGGCAACTGACGGTGGCGTTCCGCATCTTTTGCTCTCTGCATGGCAATAACAGCTTTCCTTTTTTGCTCGCCAACGGGATCATAAATAGGGATACAGTGCAAACTTTTTGGTTCGTGGCGCTTTAAAAGCTGAGCAAGAATTTTGCGCATCTGCATTCCACCTTCCGCTAATGAATCCATCTCCATGATTATGTCAGGATGGTATTTGTGCTGAAAATATACAAATGTGATTCTACAATATTTAACATTACACCGGTAAACAAATCATTTGCATTAAACACATATGAATACAATACATACCACAAAAAATAAGACGTGCTGCAGAGACCGGACGTGAGCCTCTAGAGATGAGGACTGGCGAGGTATCACAAGAGCACATAGTCTGCAGAAGAAGTCGGGAGAGTGAGTACCGATTGTCTCACTGCTGCGTCTTTCGACTAAGTCTTCGAGTCCAATCACTGTTAGCACAAATTCATGCGCTTTCTTTACCGCGTTCCATTGCCACGCCACCTTCTAAACAAATAAAACAAAAAAACACAATAGTCGGTGCAGAATTTGCGACAACGATGAGTAATACGGCATAGGAGGAAAAATCGTACATTTGATGGATCCTGTTGCTTAAACGGCTTCACAGTATATGAAGAAGTATTGTCCGTGAATCCTAACATGTCTAAATATACACATGGTATGATCAAAGACGAGTCGAAATGAACAGATCCCAGGATCGACTTTCTACTAACCTCGGAATTGAATTATAAATCTGTTGTTCTCTTTTTTACAGCAATCGCGAGGTTGTTATTCAGCACACCTTTACTTTCTTACAAGTATAACACACACAACACAACGGTAGCTGACGTTTCGGTAGCATCGCCTTCTTCAGGGCCTGGAAGAATACACTAGTATGTAATTTACTAGATCAAACGCTTCAACAAGGCGAACAGAAAGATGAAAATCTGAACAATAATTAAATGATCACCGGTTTCTCCCACTAGGCACGCATAGGATACAAAAGCATGGCGGAGAAGATCTTGATGTAAAAGTCACTATCATCGCACGGGAGAGTAAAACACTAACGCGCAAATCTCTCGAGACTTTTTGGATAAATTCCAAAAATCCGAGAATGAATAGTAGGGAAGAATTCCCAGGGATAACATATGATCTAGCCCCGTATCTTAGAATTAATTTTTGATGTGGGGTGGTGCAGTCACCAACCATATGCGACTCTGAGCGGCTGTTCTTCTTCGGTGGAGGGCAGGTAAAAAACGATGAGTTTTTCGAGAAACTGCTGTTGTATAACCATCGTTCAGATTTTCATCTTTCTGTTTATACTGTTGAAGCGTTTGACCTAGTAAACTACATACTAGTGTACATTTCCAGGCTCTGAAAAAGGCGATACTGCCGAAACGTCAGCTATCGCTGTGTTGTACGTGTTAAACTTGTAAGGAAGTAAAGGTGTGTTGAATAACAACCCCGAAATTGCTGTAAAAAAGAGAAAAACAGAAATAAACAAAAATACCACGGGCATAAGTAAACATGCACCAATATAGAGCAAAAAATTACCAAGCTTATTGGCTGTGAACGCCTGAAATCGAACAAAGTGTTGTTGAGATGCAAGATGATTGTCCCATACACTGTTAACAATCGTGTCTACAGTACTCGAAAAAACCAATCCACACTGCTGAAACACACTGCTTACAATTCAAATGTCTATTTAATGCTTAAATCAAAAAACACCCTCACATAAATCATTGATTTTTGTAACAAATCAACGCATGCTGATCATGACTGTGACTCTAGAGTTAAAGTAAGAAATTTGTGAGAAACGAGACGAATAAAAGAATAAGAGTTTTGGAAAAATTATGTTTAGTTAAATTCAATAATGGTTTATATAAAATACCCAGGGCAGAATGATTTAGAAAAAATTATAGGACAAAAACCACTTGGCATGGTTTCCAAGTAAAGCTTCGAAAATTGGGGCATTTCATGTCATAGACCTCTCCGGATTAAATTCAAAAGATCCATCAAACTCTAGAGAAAATATTATATATTATATATTGAAATATTATATATTTCTTAATAATCACATTGACTTTGCTTCTTCACGACTGTTTCCACCACTCAAAACTTCCCCAAGCAGATCCAAGAAAAAGAATGCTGTTGTCATTATCAAGCACTTTTTTATTCATTGCGTCAATTTATAACTACAGCTCATTTTGCCACACATCAAGGAATAAATTAGCAGTCGCTTCTTCAACCAATGCACTAATGCAATAACATTCTCACTAACCAAAAATAGCGAAGACGAACAGCTTCTATATACGATGAGATTATAGCAAATAGTGTGAAGAATTATGCATGATTTTACCTATTTCCAAAAATACAAAAATATAGAAACGCCTAAGCACAGTGTCCTAACTCCAAGTGGGACTGGTTACACAGATCTCGAATGATGGCATAAAACATAGGATGGAAGATAACATTACGAGAGGAGCGGTACTCAACGTGATAAAGAAATGTTGGTTAATCTTTTACGAAAGCACGCTTTTAAACAAGGATTTTTTTTATCTCTTACATGATACAAACCACCTGAAGGGTTAATTTAAAAATTAAGATGTAATCAAACAGAATGCTTTCTAGCTACATTTTCTACCCAATAAACCTTCGTTTAAAGGCTAATTCTTCGAAATAGCTAACAACGGCATAAATGGCAAAAGTTACAAAAGTGAAAAACCACTCTGAAGAAAAAATGCAACCGCCATTTTCGTAAACTGCAGCTGTTACCAGATAGCTGGAATGTACCACCACTTAGTAGCCAATTTTTTCCACAAGAAACGGCTCAGAAAGGCATTCTGTCCGAACAGCGTCGAAAATATTTATAACACCCAAGTCCGACTTTCTATTAACGTCGGCATTGATTTAATAGTTCTTTCTACTTCCGTTCAGCAAACACGAGGTGTTACTTTATTTCTTCATTTACATACAACCTGACGTTTCGGCGGATTTCGTCTTCCTCAGAGCCTGTAATGGCCGAGTTGACTACAATCTACACGGCCAAACACCTCCATAACCAAACAGAGGTGCTGGACCAAAATTTCAATCACATTGAACACAGAGTTTTTGCACACTCACCGCTTTCTATGAGTTTTCCACTAAATATGACACGTGGAGACCAACCACACAGAGTTCACACGGAATCGTATTGTGCCCATTTCATCAAAATAACAGGCTTATATGCTGCCTAATATCACGCGTGATAATGAGGTATTCCTCCCTGCGGTTCATTTTCTGATTCTTGGAATTAATCCAGAATGCCTCTAGAGTTTTGTGCGGTTGTGTTCTCCATTCTTGCGCGAGGATCGTAACCCCTACTTCAAAATCTCCGTTATGTCTCTGCGTCCTATGCGTGCCTAGTAGAGTATTTGGTTTACGTTTGCCGACTAGGTGTTCTTTTGTACGTACGCAGAGTGGTCGACCCGCTTCCCCAACGTATTCGTCCTCAAACGCTTTACAAGAGATCAGATAGACTGTACCCGAACTCATGCAGTCACCATCTCTACCACTGGGGCAAATCATGCAATTTTGCGTTGCACATAGACGGTCGTATAGGCGGTTACGAACTAGTTGGCGTCTTAGATTACTCGGTGGCATTTCAATTATCGTTACCGAATTCTCAAGAGCGGCCTTTCTTAAACAGCGTTTCATACCTGCACTTAGTTCATTTGAAATGAAGGGCAGTATAAATGCAGCTTTATTGTCGCTAGAGTTGTCGTTTGGGAGCCTCCGATTTCCCCTACAATAAACATGTATGGCTTCTCGATTCAGCAGTTGAAGACACTCTTAAAGGAGTGCCTAAACTGCTCAATCTTCAGATGGTCCGCTAAGTATCACGCACAAATGAGAGGGCTGGCAATGGGACAGCGACTGGCACCAAGCCTTGCCATTGCATTTATGTCTAAGGTGGAAGCACCAGTAATCGATCTCGGGCCGTTACTCTACTGTAGATATACAGATGATTGCTTGGTAATTTGTTCAACATAAGAAGAAATTCACAGATGTTTCGAGTTGTTGAACGAGCAGTCAGAGTATGTTAAATTCACCCGAGAGAAACCAAAAAAACTGGTTTCCATTTCTGAACGTGCAAACTAACCTATCAGACAACGACTACATTACGAAATGGTATCAAAAGACAAGTAGTAAAAATATCTTGGTTCATTACCTCTCCTCTCGTCCCTCCCACACGAAAAGGGCGCTTGTAAGTAACATGTTTCCAATAGCTACCAGCATGTGCACAGGAAGGAAGCAGAGAGAGTAGTCCCGGAACTTGGCGCGGCAAATAGCCATTTTTAATGACTACGAAACTGCAGCTCGAGATAGCTGTAGAGGAAACCACAGGCGCCCAACGATAACTCTAGTGACAATAAGGTCCCACTTATCCTGCCCTTCATTTCAAATGAAGTTAGTACAGCTATAAAATGCAGTTTACGAAGGGCCGGTCTACAGAAATCGGTAACGATAATTGAAATGTCACCGAGTAATCTAAGACGCCAGCTAGTTCGTAACCGCCTAAGTTCGTAACGACCGTCTATGTGCAACGCAAAATTGCATAATTTGCCCCAATGGTAGAAACGGTGACTGCATGAGTTGGGTACAGTCTATTTGATCTCCTGTAAAGCGTGCGGAGACGAATACATTGGTGAAACGGGTAGACCACTCTGCGCCCATATAAAATAACACCTAGTCGGCAAATGTTAACCAAATACTCCACTAGGCACGCATAGGACGCAGAGACATAACGGAGAAGATTAAGTAAGGGTCACGATCCTCGCGCAAGAATCGAGAACACAACCGCACAAAACTCTAGAGGCATTCTGGATTAATTCCAAGAATCCAAAAATGAACCGCAGGGAGGAATGCCTGATTATCACGCGTGATATTAGGCACTACATAAGCCTGTTATTCTGATGAGATGGGCACATACGATTCCATGTGGAGTGTGCATGGTTGGTCTCCACGTGACATATTTAGTGAAAGACTCATAGCGATCGGTGAGTGTGCAAAAACTCTGTGTTCAATGTGATTGAAATTTTGGTTCAGCATTTTCTCTGTTTGGTTATGGAGGTGTTTGGTCGTGTAGATTGCAGTCAACTTGACCTTACCAGGCTCTAAGAAAGGCGAAATCGGCTGAAACGTCAGCTTGTACGTAAATAAGGAAATAAAATGACACCTCGTGTTTGCTGAACAGAAGTAGAAAGAAAACATTTGTGCCCTTCAACTCTAAAAAGCTTTACATCAACTCAAAGTAAACTTTACTGTTTGAAAGAAAAAAAAAAACTAGATTCAACAAATAACTATAGATAATATATATGTCCTTGCTCTGCAAGAGCGAAGTGTTGCCTTTCGAAGCTCAAACAACACTTCGTCGAGGATTTTATTTCGAATAACGAGGTATTGAAACAAAAAGGACGGCCATGCAGGTTTAGTTTATCTCTCCGAATGCTTTGCTAGTCATTGCCGTGCTGGTATCAAAGACTGTGAAAATTTATACAGAAATAAACTTCGCCGTTTATTTCTTGAAAATATGGAAATATGAAAATTTAAACAAACTTAGAACTAGAGTACCTTTATTAGACTTTTAAATAATCCGAGATCACATATACTGCGAGGATCCCAACCAGTCTTATTATCCGATTCATTTCCTCTCTTGGAATTTGCTAATGGTCTGCTGCTTAAAGACTTTTGGTCCTCCTGTTAATGTCGTGTTTGGGTCGATTCTCGCTATATTACTTCACACTACCGTTACACTACTACTAGGTAACAAATTCAATTCCTAAACAATACGTTAGAAATGGAGGACGTGTCCATGATAGCATTTTTGCTACTATAACCAGTCATATCATATCTGTTTCATGTTCACAGGCGAAAAACTTATTTTATACAGGATGAGGCTAAAAAAGAACTATAGGTGATAATGTTAACCCAACGTTTAACGTCACCAAAATCACAGTGCACAATATGACTGTCTTATATATTCGTATATTATCTTATCTACACTGATATTATACAACTGTGTTGTGCAATGATATGTTTTTGAAGAACCAATCTATCCCTTTAGAATACACCATGCCCTCGACTTTATCAAGCATCACAGAGGAGAACGAATGCAATTTGGCCAATACAATGAGTCGCGAGAGCCTACAGTCTGGTACTAATTTACTGACCCTAGAGATCTCAAGAGCTCAACGACCGTGGAAGCAATGCCGAATCAAGGACCATGTTCATTATAGGGACACCTTTAACCACTGTGCAACACGTACTCGTAGCAGTATGACATTTACTTGAATGCTTTACGCCTATACTTCACATCTTCTTCGTGAACTGATCTCAATATACTGCAGTGCAGCATAGACAAACAAGAAAAGATGAAGCAAAAAACGGTATCAAAGAAAAGACAAGGAAAAGATCTCAAATAAATTACTTCTTCCCTTACTAGTGGGCTAACTTCAGAGAAAAGTTTAAGGAAAGAAAAAAAGCTTATAAAGTAGTTTATTGTTAAAGAGTTTTAGAGTGGCTCAAAAATAATGGTCGCTTTTGTTGTTATGAAAGTTGTAAATAAACGTAGCAAATCCTTACGTGCTGAGCTCATTGTTAGCGCAAATTATCAATATCGTTTTAGGACCTATTCTTTGCCTCACTATTTGCTATGCGATGTTCTTAGCCTTCGTTTTTTTGGAAAAGTCCAACACCTTTACCGTTGTTTTACTACCAAACGTTAAAACATATAATAGGTTTTTCAGAAATAAGCGCTCCAAGATATTTATCTTCATGTACTTTTTACCGATAAAATATTACTTTTACCTTGCAATACTATATATCGTTAGAAGGCTGATTTCACGCTTTTTCTAACCATTTTTTATATTTTGCCAAAACTTGAATTTTTTTTTACTAACCTTGAGCTTTGAAACTTTAGATGTCAGAAACGAATTTTCGTCAAATGTTCTTTTATGAGTAAAACCCTGTCGTAGTGCAGCACAGATGGCTCGCAACATTAAAGAGGTTTATGGTAAAGGCAGTGTTGATGAATCAACAGTGCGAACATGGTTCCGGAAATTTTGATCTAGTGATTTCGACCTCGAAGATAAGGAAGGCCGCGGACGTCCCAATGAACTTGACAACGACAAATTGTAGACACTAATGGAAGCAAACACGCGAATGACTGTTGGAAAGCTTGCAGAACGCGTTGGCATAAGCATAGGAACAATTTTCATTCATTTGAATCGCATAGGGAGACAAAAAACTAGAGAAGTTGGCGCCGCACGAATCAAACTATGTGGTTGTTTAGTGGTCTGCAGTCGGGCTGATTCACCGCAGGTTTTTGAATCCGTATGAAACAATTACGGCAGAGAAGTACTGCAAACAAATCGACGAAATGCACCGTAAACTCCAACAGCAACTACAACTAGGTAATAGTCAACAGAACAGGACCAATCGCTCCACACAACAACATCCGGCCTCACGTTGCGGAACCAACGCTACAGAAGTTGAACGAGTTGGCCTACGAAACTTTTTCTCATCCGCCATATTTACCAGACCTCTCGCCTACCGACCATCACTTCTTCAAGCACCTCGACAACTTTCTGGGCAAGAAATGCTTCACCAACCACGATGACGCAAAAAATACCTTTAACGAATTCATCGCTTCCAAAACTCCAGAATTTTGTGCAACTGGAATAAATAAACTTGTTTCTTGTTGGAAAAAATGTGAAGATTAAAATGTTCTCTATTTCGATTAACAAAGTTTTGTGTGAAGAGCAAGCTATGACATTTTGAATAATGCAGTTAAAAACGCCCTTTTATTTCTGGACAACCTAATACTATATACATGGGCATTGTTATCGGACAAACTGACCGTGCATCGACAAAGCATCCTTTCAACTTTTCCGATCTTTCGTTTCAATTCCAGAATTCTCACTCCTGCAAGGTCTAAGGCTTCTTTGACAGAGATTACCGAATTCTCCACTAAAATCGGTGTACATGACAATTTGGTGAAACAAATCATAGAAAAATATGAAGATTTACGTTGAAAGATAAACTTAATTAGCCACAGTGCTAGACCCACCGTTATCTCTTGCCACTTTATCAACCATCGTCATGAGGCATTCAAATGCTGGACGAAGCTCAGAACCATAAGAAGTCGCATCAACCTATTTTTCAAACAAATTAGCACTGATCAGAACAGAAAGCAATAACGTGTTCTTGTTCAATACTCTTCTATACAGCGAATAGTGGATTGCTCCTGCCAATACTACCCTCAGTAGACAAGCTTGATAGTTCCAGATCATCTTAATATACCTTTAAAGTTAGTAAGATCTTTTCACTAACTTTACGAATAGAAATGCTTCCCCAATGTAGCATGCGGATCGCAATTTCAGGAGAATATGAACGCATCTCATCACGTTCATCACATGAAGATCGTTGCAGCCATTCAAGCATCAATTCACGACTTGCTCTTGCTTTCTTTTGCACCAATATCATCGAAAGAAGGCTTCGATTATTCGAATGCTGCAACGGATATTCACCATAGTAAAATTTCTGGTGAAACAGAAGAACAAAACATGTGTAGAAATTTGCTCTTTCAGGAAGAATCTGAAGAATCATGACTTCCAACTTAATTCAAGTGCTTAACAATTTGTAAGAACTCCGGTGCATTAAATTCTAACAAATTTAAACCGGAAATTTTGGAAACCATTCTACTAGTATGACAAGTAAACCTACTAAATAGTGATAAAAATGGGCGTACGAACGTATGTGATTATTAATTATGGTGTCCATCCCGCGCGCAAACCATCGTGCACATAAAGTACATACAACCTGAAACATACGGTCCAGAGTGAACTTGCATATGTTTTAAGGATTTAGATTAATTGACATTAATATTAAGATTGTCATCACTAATCGGGATGGAAGAGCGTGCAGCACAGTGATGACAGACATCCTGCAATACACACGGGATCGATCTGAAGTCCCAAGCTCACCAAGCCTTTTACCCCTCGGGGTTCGAAAAATTGGTACTAGATTTGTCTTGCAGGATAGCAGCACTGAGTTGATACATTAGTAGGCTGCCGCCGCCAGTCATTGTAAAGGCTAGATATGAACTCAGTCACCTCTAACGATGCTTAATATAGTTGAATGCATGGCGTACACTCCAGCGATTGGTCAATGTTGAGATCGTTGTCCTTTACCGATCATTAGCAATAAGGAAAAAGGATAACAAATATAGAAATTTCACCTCTTCATTTTCTAGATCATCTACTATGAATTCTAACCCAACGTCTCCTTGCGTTTGCACATAAAAAATTTCTTTTCCTTCCTGAAATGAAGCAGGATACCAAATAGAGGTGTTAGACAAAGTTACTGAAAGAATCTTAGCTATTCATTGCAGAGTAAATAACAGTGGACGTAACCTTTACTTCACACCAATGACCATGCAGCATTCTTGGAGCCTTCGGCACCTTCGACGATATCGGTACGAAGAACTTTTCATCTATAATGAAAATCAACAGAAAAAAGGAATGTGTTAGAACTAAATCAAGTAACAGACTTGCGAACATGACTATTTTCGTTCAATAAGAACACATTTTGTAAACGAAATTTAAGTAAGAGCAAAGCAAAAACGAAAAGATAACAATAACAGTACCGAAAAAGAGGCACGCTCTTCGAACAGCAAATTCAAAGTGCGACAACTCTTCACAGTGAGCATTCCAAAGTGTTTCTCCACCATCTTTGACGTCTTTTGCAACGTTCAAACATAATAGGCAGACCTAAGGAGATACCCTTCATTTCCAACACCAGTAAAATATAAGAAACGAACGGATAAACACATACTTGACAAAACAAGCAATTTGAGTCACGTCCAAGAGGTGAAAGTGCTGGCATAACTGCAGGAAAGACATGCGACTCCGGCTTCAAAACCGCCTATAATTAGCTCATTTCTTACAAATCAACACATCCGTAACTAACAATTCTCAATGATATCAATGTGCACTAATATCGTTCTATAGGATGGTTTCTTCTCCTGCACATGGTTTCTCGCCACTATTTTTGTTTTTAGTGAATAGAGAGCTTCAACTTAACTACAGATGTGTCAGGACAGAGAAAAATCATTTTCTAAAATTTCTTTTTGTAGTGTTAACCTTACATGAGGTTACCGCACAAGTACATATAAAAAATATTGTTTCGCTAAATCCTATACCTAATAATTTAAACAGTGTTTCCAGACGACTTTGCTTGTCAAGCCACCGAGACCCTTAACATTTCTCAACTTGCACAAATATTAAGTTTTTCGGAAATAAATGAAGAATTGCAACGGTGTTCTTTAAACTTAGGCATCTCAGGTTACTTTTTACAAACTTTGCTAACCGAAATAAAAACCGTTAAAACTGAAAGGATTTTGACAAGAAGCAAATCTATTTATTCCGCTTGTTTATGCCTTGACTTGGTTTCTGAAGTGTTTCTCGCACAGGAAGTTGTTGAGGTGTTTGGAGAAGCGGTAGTCGGCAGGTAAGAGGCCATCCGAGTGCTGTTGATGAAGTACAGCTTTGTAGTTCAGCTCCTTCAATCTTTACGGTGTGGTTGTAGGTTTACAGATTGCGTGAAATGTGACTGTGCATCTATAGTGTCACGCGCTGCCAATTGATACGCCATCTGTTTTTCGAGTATTCTCCACTTCTAAATCTTTTTTAGATGTTCCAAAACAGTCCAAGCGCCCATATCGACTTTTTCTAAAAGTCACTGAGCAGTTCTGCATGTATTTTCTTCCATCAAAGGTTTCAGTTCATTGGCATCAACAGCAGGGACGTCCGCGACCTCCATAAATTCCTAGATCGAAGTCGCGTGGATAAACTATTGGAAGTAATGTTCTATTGTGCATTCGTTAACAATTCCTCGCCTCCGTATATCAGTTATGATCAGGACCGTTTGCACTGCATTACAACCACGTTTGAATTCGTAAAAGCAAACTCATCGCAATTGCTGCTTTGACATCTCAAATCCTAAGCTACAAAATTTGTCAATAAATAATTCTTAAAAGATATAGGAAAAGAACAAACATTAAAAATCCTGCATTAAACTCTGAACAACCTGGTATAATCACATAGGTCCCACTTTGATTAAACGCTTTTTATAGATTTGTTATACACTCTTGGGACCCATAAGGAAGACGGTGAAAACTTAGGGTTGTCGCGAACTTGCAAAGAATATTGTCACATATATGAAATAAAACGGAAAAACAGATAATATATAATTAGTGTAAAAACTAATAGTTTGAAAAAAAACAGGACGACATAAACAAAATAATCGAAATGGTATTTTAAGATGTTCGATGACAAGCGCAAGGATAACGAATACAATTTTCATGAATGAAACACCAACCGCTAGACATTGAGGGAACCAGTCAATATGAACTCTGCGACTTTTTTCATTCTCCAAACGAAACGTTGCTCTCGAAATTAGTTCCACAGCCTTCCTCATTCGAGACATTCGACCGTACTGCAAAGCTTGGTACATCTCCACAGGATATAACACGGTCTGGAATACACAAAGAAGTGGAAAAAAAATAGAAGAAAGTGAGAAAGTGAATATTCGAAAAAAAAATTTTGAGCAGGTACCCACACACCAAAAATTCCATGATGTGATATTCGCTGGAGAAGTGGTTTTCGACTGATTCAACAGGTGTGCAACAGAGTCGACAAAAATATCCTTTGTCTGAAAGTAAGCATAAGGCCTTCGGAAGTGTTTAAGACGATTTTTAAATCATATCTGAAGAAAAAAAAACGCACTGAATGCAACCAAAAACTTCAATCCACATAATGGCCCATAACTACGATCCTTTTCCATTCTCCAACTAAACGGCTTCCTGAGCGCGACCACTTCTGGCAAAACTGCACGTTCAAATTGAACTGAAATGCAAATTATTAGAATAGGAATTGTAGATGAGAACATTTCATAAGGATGCTTTCAAATAAACGCAGGGAATGGAGAACAGGTGCACTTTGCAACAAATTCGGAAATCGATCAAGACATATAGTTTGATTACCAATTTTTCGTCGCATGTGTTAAGAATTGAAATCAACCTATGACAGACCTTCTGCGAATTCCACCTTGTAAACAGATTGCCATCTTTAACTTCTTACATTATAACTCACTTTTCGAATATAGTTGTTAGAAGTTCTTGACTCTACTTCTAAGTTGTTTCCACGTTCCTTCATGTACCTTTCTAGCTCTTAGAACATTTCCATAAGTTTGTGATCAGAAAACTCGACCACCGTCTAACCACGGTATTGTCGACGCACCATAGCCAGTTTCGTTGTGTATGCAGATTTTTTCAGGTCTTTTTAAAGTAGCTCTTATACATTTTATACAACCATGATTTATCACTATGATTTAAGAAATTTTAAAATAACCAAATGTTAGCGAATCGAATCTTCTGAACTGGAACATTGCTCGGATGAGAATCTCACACGACAACGCCCCTTTTAACATAAGACGGTTGTTGCTAATTGTCCATTGACAACGAACTGTATTCATGAAAGCCATCTATCATGTGGTACTCGGCACTATATTGGCTAACATGTAGAGAACAGTAGAAGAGATGAGAAGAATCATGCCACTCATTCCCCAAGGGAATGAACCGTTTGACTGCCACAGCTGAGCGACTACTGGAGCTAGAGCTCGGTCTACGTCATGTTGGTCCTTAAGTTACGTCAAAATTTTCAAAAATTACAGATTTCAAAAGCTGTTGATCCATCTCCACGTCGACCACGGATAACGTGGAGTGTATATGATTAGACCATTTGTCGATCTTCAATAGAAAAACTGTCACGGACTACCTGTCAAATAGAAACCAGTCAAAAACGTGTGTCGGTGAGCACCTCATATTCTCTTGCAATACGTCCCACATAAAAGTCATAAGTATGAATTCAGCTGAAGCTGAAAAGGACAGAGTTGGAAGTCCAGAACAGTTGGTAATGGTACGATGATCAAGTGAAAAAAAGGAATACTATAGCAATGTCCACGACGATGCAAGACGCGACCCTCTATGCGAAGTCATCAGATCAGCAGGTGATCGACGGCCGTAATCGAGGAAGCTTTTGTGAACACAAGGAAGTGACTTCGCTACGCCCTAGATAAATACGACTTCATACTCGACAAATTAGGTAAATACGGCAGTTTTCCCACTTAGTTGCTCAGACGTTTTTTCGTCAACGCATGCAAGATATTTTGGGATAGTACGAAGGAAACTGCGACAAATAAATGAAGATTCAAGCCCGTTTGATTTCGCTATATATCCTACACCTTCAACTAACCACATGTTAGAAGTGATTCCAAAAATATGGATACGTTGCGTTGAATGTTGGAAGAAATTAGCAAGATTTCGTTAATTTTATTGGTGGCGCACGGAGTAAGCACGTCAACTGTGGATGCAACCAAAACAAGTGTTTGTGTTAAGCTTGTTTCAATAGTAACAAAGAAAGCATAATTTGTCGAGGTTAGAGAATATAATTACGGCAAATAGCTTCTACAAAGTGTGAACTATAAGGATTTTCATTGCACCTGTAAGGTGTTCAAAGAAACAATGTGCTGAAACACACTAGATAACGCCACACAGTGTGCGACCGTGTTGGAATACCTTACTACCCTTTCCGATAGCAAGTCTCTTTACGAAGCGAATGAACTCTTACGATTTTTTCTTTCTTTTGCAAATTATAAAGCATGGAAAACAGCTTTCCTCCATTGATACTAGGCACACGATTTGCGTGTGGAGAAGATCCCGATTCAATAGGAAAAAATACAGCAAAAACTCTGTTCGGCAAAACAGCCATGAAGGATTACAAGATGATACAGCTCTCGGTGTTTGTCAATTTCTGCGCGACACGCCATGCATTCGACTTCATAGAGCATTGTTAGAAGTGATCGAATGCATATCTGTCTTATACTTTCGCTGCCCTGAAGATGTATCATTCATTGCTGCTTTTTTCACAGACAAGTGTGGTACCGATCTTCCGACTCCGAGGAGATGAAAGACTGAGTAAGCTCGGAGCGCGGGATCGAACCAACGACAACGTGTGCATTGTAGGGCACCTCTAGCCACCGCCTTACACGCACAAAAAAAAACATGTAAGTTCGAATCGAATTGACCACTTCAACTTACATTGTTCTAAGAATGTGACTACTGCAACTGCTCGGCGATGATCGGGTGAGAGTTCGTGTTTATCCCAAACTCGCTTCAGCAATTCATCGTTGCAAGCCACAAGCTGGTGACATATCTAGATATAAAAACACTTCTCAGACCAGAACTTCTTGAGCAAATCCATAACTACGTTGTTTTATTTGCCCGAGATAACATAGTGTGGGCATCCTAGCAAATCTAGCATTCGATTCGTCCACTCGCACTCAACATTCACAATGATCTTTAGAGAGGTTGGTGTTGTTTCAGCTCCTTAGGATTTTGGCCTTCTGCATGAATTTTGGTCGAGCCGATTCCCACTAGAACTTAGATATAAATGTGAAAGTGTGTACCTAAATCTTCATAGAGCAGTTAGCAGCTTACACGCATTGGAAAGAAAGAGCTGATCTCAGACAAGTCTGTACCAATTCCCCGACCCCGTAAGAATGGAGGGCATGGTTGGGCCTGGCTGGGTTTAATCAGACCCTTACGCTTAATGAACACTATCACTATTACTGCGTTATGCCTGCTCACCCATAAATATCAATACTAAAAAACTGTACATAGAGTATTAAATTCGCAAGTACCTACGACAAAGGATATATCGCACACAGCGAATTCGGCCTGTCGTCTACGATCTACTGAATGGATGACTTAACCTTTTCGGTGCACATAATCACATTAATGAATATCAGAGCATGTTTCTTAGTGTTCAGAGTACACCCCTTACATCAATTAGGTCCAAAGTATCAGCTACGCGACACGAGGGAAACTACTTGAGGCCAATTCAGTGTCTCACCCAATAAACACATCAAATGTAATCTGTAAGATTTATATAAATTACTGATGAGTGTTCTCAGACCATAAACAATAGTCTGCAAACTATATGTGGTATTCGTTGCTTCCCAAAAACGGTAAAAATAAGTGGCGTTACACGACGAGCACATTCTTCGTATAGGATCTTCATGAAGACTAACCACTGGATCGATAGTCATTATTATGTACACTCAATATTCTGCTCAATCCAAAACACCTAACGCAGTTTCTATCACTATCACGTGTCCAGACAACCCAACGCTCACCTTTGCGGAATATGAAACCCCGTCATCGATCTTCACCTACAACGCAAATCTTCGGACTTTTCTACAACGCCTTCTTCTACCATTACTTTTCCATTACCGCAGTCGACAACAACGACCACAATTCCGCATTGTTAACGTGATTTCATGGTTTCATATGCATAATTACGTCTAGAAGAAAATGAAATCGGGTATAGAGAAGGGAGATAGGTGGATCAAGGCGTTTCCTTAACTCTCTACACTATATTCCCAAATATCTTGTACATCAGCCAGTTTTCGTTCACTCTACTCAGTGTTAAAGTTATAAAAGTGATATCATTAACAAAATGAAAACACTGCAGTTGATGGCACCTACTTTCATCCGCTTGTTCCACTCAGTTTCGATTTCTGCATGATTATCCCTAGACTGCCATTCAATAATTTTGGCAACACTTATTTATATGCCATAATTTATAGAACTTTTCAATGTAACTGGCTAAAGAGACAAGTGTACTACTTTTGAATAACTCTATTCACACCATCTTCAGAAGAGCGTTGAAATTTTGAACATACCAAACATTGCAGAGTTCTTCTTGTTGTTTCATTCTTGCGAGGATCCATATGCAAATTATAAGATGGCTGCAAACAAGTGGATTTCATACCAAGTCTTGCCATAGCTCCACTTAGTGTGATACTAGAATCCATGACTAAGCACTCAGGTGCTAGATTTTCTCGTCCTAAACATTTGTTTTATCAAAAGTAATACTGAATAGTAGAGTAAAAATATGAGGACAATTGAAAAAAAAAGTGTGAGGAAACTATTTCACTATTTGATTTCTTTAGTTATCCTTTGTTTTGTGATTTCATTTCCATATCCATTGAAGTGGTTACTACCGAATTTCTCAGACGAAAAACAAAAGTTCTATGTGAATTTACCGTCTGTCTCTAATAAAACGTGAACCATGTAATACTATCCTCACTATTAATAATACCAACCATGCTATAATTAGATATACAATTTTTGCAATATTCGCATACCTCACAACGGTTTACCGCCTCATCGTGGCTGGGAGGTGTTCCTGGGTGCCGGACTGTGATGTGCAGCGGGGGGATTCATTTCTCTGGTAGAGTCTGCCAACCTGAGGAGTTCGGCTTTTCCATCAGGATGCCTAGCTAAGAGTAGACCAATACCAGCATCCACCACAGTCCTGGTATCGAATTAGTCGCATAGTGGCAAATGTCCCTCTAATCCAAAAGGGCTGCGACTGTCTGTGGTGGTGACGACCTGGGGAAGACTGGCCGGGCTGACCTCGGTACTCCAGAAAACTATAATGGCTTAACAAGCAAATCTCCGAAAAGTCGTGATCATCCTGGAGCCCGCACAACTAGTGAGGACGGGCCGTTCAAGTATCAAGTAAGTATCAAGTTAAAACGTTTCAAGCTACCATAAAATAAGACCTTGTTCTTCGAAAACTTTGTCGCATAACCGCTTTAGCTCACTGAAAGCCTTGAGTGGATCTCCAACAAATCTTGCCTTAGAAAATTTGGAAGAATGGAATTCATCCTAAAACAGAAGGACCAGTTATTGGTTAAATGAAGCAGAACACCAAAATGGTAGAGAAAAAAAAGAAAGAGAATGATCTGAGGACAAATCCTACCAAATATGTTTCAATATGACCTCTTGAAAAAAGGTGCATATCCGCTTGTTCCGTAAGCACACCTGATTCATAGCAAATTGAACACGCCCACCAAGGCACCGAATTGAACGAGAAATACAGCTCATGAAGACATTCCAGACCTTAAGATTTCTTCTATTCAAATTTGGCTACTGTTTAAATAAGCAGCCCTTGAAAAATGAAGCATTGACCATAACTGAAGGTTGTCTAAAACACGACGTTATTATGGGATTAGAAAGGTGCAACAAAATAAAATTTGAAAATTCATCTCTAAAATATTTTACCAATCGCTTGTTCACCGCAAGCAGTGTACCGTTTCAAGAGAACAGATGGTCCAACAAATGACTGAGATTTCGGAACCTCTTTAGCGAAAAAATCATATATGAGGAGTTTCTGAAAGGAATCCAGAAAACTGTCGAATACAGAATAAGCAAATACAACAAATATGAAAACGCCCGCACCTTTTTATGTTTCGCTTGCTTTTCATGGTTCTCCTTGTCTTGAGATGAGGGGCATAAATCTTGGCATATCTGCAAATAAATTCCAGTAAAAAAAAACCAAATTGGGACAAATGTGTTTCAACACAAACGTTTCTGAATTAATCCTACAGTTAAAAAGATTTGTCTCTTAAGAAATGTACGATCTCGGGAACAAAGTCGCACCAAAATCGGATCAAACGTTTAAGACACCGGTGGCAGTGAGGATTGATTACAATCGTACACAGCTAAAAACAGTCACAGTTTCGAGTTTTAACCAACATCTCTCAAATCCAAATAAACTTTATCTAACGAATTTCAAAATCGGCAAAAGTAGAGACCGTTTCAAACAAATTGTCTTATTATACAATGATGTTCAGATATTTGAAAAACTCCGGACGGCAGGTGTCTGCGGTGGAGATCGAACACGTTATTACCCTTTTCGTGTTGACGCGTACAAGGCGAAACGGAGAACGCGAATGGTGAGATGGAGAACGCGCTATGCTCCGAAAAGGGTAATAGCGTGTTCGATCCACACCGTAGACACCTGCCGTCCGGAGTTTTGCAAATATCTCAGCATCACTGTGGTTGATTTCGCATAATACCCTGCCGAGGAAATTGTAGTAGGCAATAAATAAAAAAGCTAACATCATTCCGACTTTTGGGGCGAGTAAATCGATTTTCCTTTCTCGTCCTCTTCTAGGATTTTCCTAGGAAGCTCATATCACTATTGGTGAAGTGAATGAACAAACAGAACTTCGTTTATGATGCGATGATGTTTCCGCATCCACTATTGCTGTTTGGTGCATTACAAATTAAGACACTCTGAATCTTATTGGAAATTTGAATTCTAAAACAGCAACAGCAAAGGCTTAACTAAACGTTGCAGCCACAAATACAAATGGCACTTTAGAAAAGACCATCGTGTCTTGCCAAAAGAAATTCGCCTACATTTTGTGTTCGAAACAAGAACACCGACGAAATAATGACTTTTGCTGAGCGAAAAAAACCGGAAATCCAATACGGCAGAATGAAAAAACTTTTACTCGGCTGCCAAAAAGCACCAGACTTTACTGTTTCATGACGAAGCCGGTTTTCTGTCAACAGGCAATAATTTCTTGATCATCAAAGTATTTCAGCAGTTAAGAACCTTACAAAATATACATTTTCTCTTGCGCATTAATTGCACCCATAATGTATTCATTCTCCGATAAGCTTACACGAAGTTGATAAACAGTTTTATTCGGCAAACCTTTCGACGTCTTCGTCCTCATCATTCATCAGATCGATCTTTCGAGACATGGTCCGCTGGGGAAGACACAACTCGATAAGAAAGCGACGACGCCACATCGAGACGAAGAAGAACGGTGGACTATCGACTCAGAACAAGATGAAGATGTCGAAACGTTAGCCGAATAAAACTATTTGTCAACCTCTTGTAAGCTCAGCAAAGAAAGAATACATATTGATTAGTAATACCAATGTTAAAGGAAAGTCGGTTTTGAAATACCGTATCCATAATTTTTATACAGAGTCCTCTCAAATTCAGATATGTTTGTAAGTATGATTTCCAAAAAAAAAATGAAAATGAAACCCAAAGGTTTCAACGTTTCCAATATAAAAGCAAAAATTGCAAACATGAACGATGTATTGAATAACACTATCACGTAATATAACTCGTATGAAATGCTGAGATATTTGCAAAACTCCGGACCACAGGTGTATGCAATGGAGAACGAACACGCGCTGTTGTCCTTACCGGGGAGCAGCGCACTTCACCACTACACCATCCGGGTCTATCACTACTATCACGTAATCCTGGACGAGATCCCGCTTGTTCATAAGATCTCGAAATATGTGCTATCAAGCGAAAAAGTGGAAGGACTACGTCCCTTGGTTTCCAAAAAATTAGGATTTTATCATGGTAAAAGAAACATAACTTCTATCGTATAAGCGAAGGTTTACAAATCTCATCCGTTTTGTCGCAATCGATAAAATTCACTACCAGCTGAGAGAGGTTAATTTGAAGTTAATAGCGACGATTATTTTAGCATTAATTGATTTTCTTCAATGAGCAAACACAAAAAATAAAAAGTAAAACATTGATCATATTGGCGGTTACGAAGCAGCTGGCGTCTCAGAGTTTCCGGTAGTATTTCAATCACTGCTACCGAACTCTCCGAATCGGGCCATCTTAAGCAATGTTTTATAGCTGCAGTTGTTTCGCTGAAAATAAAGGGAAGGATAAACGGAACCTTGCCCTCGCTAGAATTATCGTTTAAAGGTATATCCCACGCTCTCCATTTTCCTCCACGCTTATCACGAGGAGTTTAGCAGTCATTCGAAATGCTTATTTGCCGCACCAATTTCAAGGATCCCTCCTTCTGCTCTCTTCCTGTACACACGGGCTGATGTTCGAGACAAATTTCTTACAAGCGCCCTTTTGGTGTGTGAGGGCTAAAAAGCGAGGTAATGAACCACTATGTTTTTATTTCTTTGCTTTTGGTGTGACTTGGTTATGTAGCCGTTTTCGTACAGGTTAATTTGAACGTTGAAAATTGAAGCCAGTTTTCTTTCCGTTTTTCTTGTGCGAACGTTACGTAGTCTGACTGTTCGTTTAGTAGCTCAAAGCATTTGTCTACCTCGTCTTGTGTAGAACAGATGAGGAAACAATCGCTCATATATCTGCACTAGAGTAATGGAGATCAACTCCACCTTAGACATAAAGGGAATGGTAAGTCTTGTTGCTAGTCACTGCCCAATTGCCAACCCTTTCATTTGTGTGAAATACTTCCCAGTCCACGTGAAGATCGAGCAGTTTAGACAAACCTTTAGAAGTGTCATGAGCTGCTGAATCAAGAAACGATGCATGTTTATCACTCCTTCGTGTTGCACATGAAGCTCGTAGATGGCTTGCACTGCGAGTCATTCGACACGGTAGGGTAAAGGCTGATAACGTCGAAAGACTCCATAACATACGTGGTGTTACGGTAAGTAACAAAACGGTGAGTGCGCTGCTCCCTGGTAAGGACAACAACGCGTGTTCGTTCTCCATTGCATACACCTGGAGTCCGGAGTTTTGCAAATATCTCAGCATTTCAAAACGGTGAGTTTTTAAAAAAAGCTGATTATTATTCGAATTCAAAACTGTGTGCTAAAACTTAACTGCTAAGGCTACGAAAGTGTTTTGCCGAGTAGATTGCCGGTCAATTTAACCTTTCCAGGGTTTGAAGAGGGTGAAACCGCCGAATCGTCAGCTATTCAGTGCTCACAAACGCTACAAACCAAACTCGTGTTTGCTCACCGAAGAAAAACATTGAACTATTGAAAAACTTTCGACAACTTCCGATAATTTTTCGACTTTTAGCGAGATTTAGGAGTGGAGAACTTCACAGATAGAGAATTCTTTCAACTGTAAATACATTTGGAACCAAAATCATCGAAGAAATGAAAACTAGATCCCAGCTCTTAAAACTTCAAACACAAGTGCAACAGCTGCAAGCATAAACAACACAATGGTGACGAAGATTCCTTTCTGGTTAACGAAATTGCACTTGTTCAAATACTTTCATTTTCGAAATACAAGCTTTACACAAAAAATGAAAGAAATGTTGAGATATTCGCAAAACTTGGAAAGAAGAAACGCAAAATAAGGGCCTCAGTGGCTCAGTGTTTAGTACGCGAGCCCCCTAAAAGAGTAATCATGGTCCGATCTGGCCCGGTGTCCACGTTTTGCGAATATCTCAGTACGTTGTGGTTGTAGTTCACAGCACACCCTACCGTGAAAAGTTACACTAGGCAGCATTTAAATGGTTAACATTGGAAGAAATGTGTTTTATGGACTCCATAAAATCAGACTTCTAACTTGGTACAACAAGGTAACTTTATCTTGTAAGGAATGGTTCTGAATCCTGGTAGGTTTTGTTCGAGTCGATAAAGTCCCAGATGAGCTGTGCTTTGCTGGTTTAAATTTGAAAGAGGCCAGAATTTCTGTTCGAGAATATCTTAAACAGCTTTAATAGAAAAGAACATTCTACGGATGTTTTCCCTAGGAGGAAAGTTCTATCTCAAAAGCCTATCAATTTTTCAACTCCTAAAAATATTCGCGACGATGCGCATTGCTCCCGAGACGTACGCGACGCATAACGGACGGTCTGAGTCATTCCTCTTGGCTGTTTACGTCAAACACTCTACAAGTAAAACTACCTTGGACAGTTGCAAGAACTCACCACACAAGTATGATTTGAACGCCAGAAATTTGTCTTCCGCGTGCTATACGAACCATTCTCAGCTCGGGAACTCATCATTCAGCTGACAAGAAAGTCATTAAAGTCACTCTAGCAATATGGAAGAGGCGATTTGGCAAGAGCTAACATCTTTCCAGAGAGATAGTAGAACACAGAACTCAAAAATAAATGGCTTCTCGAGAAATACAAATATAAAATAGAATTCTCAGAATTAATCCGACTAGACTCACAGCTCTTTCCACTTAACGGTCTGGATGTTATCGATCACGATAGGTTTCATCAAGTCCCTGTAACAACTCACTCAACATTTTTCATACCTCGAACTGATTATCTACGTACTGTTCAAAAACCAATAATACTGACTGATACACATTTCAAGACGTGACAGGACTGAAACCCGACATAAAAAGCAAATACAAGAGAGCACTGAAGAATGGAGTAGGGTGGCAGTGAGCAAAATCTCAGACGATGAAAAGAAAGCGATACGATGATAAAAAAACACTTTGTATGAAAATCTTCGAACTCGACAATAAGTCCTGATTTGAACTGAAAACGACGGCTTTTCAGGAAAACGATGATTTCCTTGAAAATTCTACTCAAATGGAAGAAAAATGAAGATTCACGAAGCACTTCGGAAAACAGAAAACCCTCGAAAATGACCGGAATTCGTCACGCCGTGATGGTACTGCACCACTGATTCCACTTCTGCTACTAACAGATTTGTGGAACAACCCAGGTTGTCAAAGAGATGTCATTAAAAGCCACTACGCTACTGGTTTCACTGAAATGTCACAATAGACAACCGAAGACCAGCTTGTTTGGAATTTCAAAATATGGAGAAAGAAACTAGGTTCCGATTTCCCGAGTTAAAAAAAGAACACGGCATCGTACACCTCAAAGAAAAATTCCTCCTTTATTTCCAGTGGATAGTCCGGTGTTTCCATCAGAGAGCCTAGCTGAGAGTAAACCAATACCAGGATCCAATACCAGGACCAATACCAGGATCACCACCGTCATGGTATCAAAATCGCATAGTGGCTAATCTCCCTCTGATCCACAAAGGCCGCGACTGCTTGTAGTGGTGAAGACCTGGGGCAGACTTTGGCCAGGCTGATCTCGGGATTCCACGGAACCAAAATGGCTTGGCCAGCAAGCCTCCGAAAAATGGAGATTATGTTGACAGCCGCACAACCAGTGAGGTCGGGTCGTCCAAGTATCAAGTATCCAGTATCGAGTATCAAGTAAGTCCAAGAAAGCCCCTCGTCATATTGTACGTTTCCAACAGATTAAATGAACAATTTCCGTCCAAAAAGAGACAAGTACACCAGAAAGGGACTAGGTGAGCACTACAATGGCTCGCACAGCGGCGCATCGATCGAGGATGCGAGGGCGCAGAGATGCAGAGTGGCCGTGAGGGAGCGAGAGGGGGATGTGCAGTTGGTTGGGGCGACCACTCTCCACTGGCGTTATCTTGACCGGCGGCGACCTTGAATCTGGAGGTTGGTGTCAGCTCGTTTGCTGTACTTCCTGTCTTGGTAGGTCCCCCAAGTTATTGCGTAGGCCAGATATGCACTCAATGATCTGTGATGCAGGATTCACCTATATGATCTGTCTTCTCGCTAATTCGCATCTATCGCTTTTGGAGATGGTTTGGGCTCAGCATGATGGAGCGAGTTACATTCGATTGGGTGCGTAGCTGGCTCGTAACTAGCGTTCTTTCTTTTTCATTGTCTTATTAGCCGATCATCTGTTTGAATGGTAAAGGATGGTGTATAAAGCGTCCAACGTTCACCATTATTCCATGAGCACCATGAATTCCCACTTCATTCGTAGCACCCTTTTGAGTGCATATATCTAGCCTTTACATAGACTTCCGGGGACCTACCAATGCATCAACATGGCGTTACAATCCTCTAGGGCAACTCTCTTACCAATCTGCCGACACCTGAGAGATGGAAGTTAACGACAAGACATCATTTAAGTAGATTTCCCACAACGCACTTTAGATTGAAAACGCAACGAAGCTGATATCGACCTTAAGGCTTGGAAAAGACATTGTTAGAGAGTAGCAAAACCCATTTAGAAACAGCGATAAGATTTTCGTCGTCACTGGAATCGAACTAATTAACATGGGAAGAGCAAAAGTAGAATTAAAGGAAGAAATACGGGGTGCAGTAAAAACTCAAACAATGCGAAGAGTTCAATATACTTGGAACAGCTTGATCCAAGCTTACTTACTTACGTGGATGGCCCGTCTTCACTGGTTTGGGGAGCGCCGGTATACGTTTCACTTTTTCGGAGTTTGCTGGCTTAGCCATTGTGGCTCCTTGGAATCTCGGGGTCAGCTTAGCTAAAGTCTTCCCCACGTCATCACCACTACAGGCAGTCGCCGACCTCGTGAATAAGAGAGAGATTTGTCACCATGCAACTAATTAGATATCAGGGTGGTGATGGAGGATCTTGGTATTGGCTTACTCCTAGCTAGGTTTCCTGAGGGAAACGCCGGACCTCTTCTCAACTTGAGAGGCCTTTCTTAATGATGAATTCCCCCACTATACATTGAAGCCCGACGCCCAGGAACACCCACCAGCTACGATGAGGCAGTAAGCCTTTGGGGGGCGAGACAAGCTACAAGACTTATTTCACAACAGCTAATGTTTCGACAAACTTCGTCTTCTTCAGTGGCTAGAAATGGTTTTATTATGGGTGCAGTTGACTCCGCCAAATACTCACACTCACGGAATAAGTCAAAATCTAGGTTTTCACCAAATGATAGATATCTTCATCAAAACACCTGAGCCTTTTTCACGTCGTCTAAATGAGAACCAAAGCAGAATACCTACGTTGCTCGTGGAATTCACATCTGGGGATGTCCCTATCTGCGTCGTCCATAATTGTACGTGTGCAGCCACCTTCGATGCACAGCTTGAATGCTCCGATTCCGGTTTGTTCCCTATGTGCTTGAAATCCGCCTCTTCGTTTACACCAAACCAGCGGGTCATCAAGACACACGTTCTTGGCAGGTCTGCAGTTTCCCCAACACCTATTGAAGAACACGGCGATTATTCTCATTGTGCAATTTGCGCTGTCGACGAAGTGGACAGGAGCCAGCAGTTTGAAATTTTTGTCTCTTACCAGAAATTCATTCTTAAGAGGTTGGCATGCACAACTCCCAGTGAAACTAAATACTATTATTCTTCTTTCGTTTGCGATATTGTGGGTCACCACATAGCATTACCGTTTTTTCGTACCCACAACCGTTACAAGATACAAGCAGATAATTTAGCTTTTCAACCTTTCAATAAATGTCTAAACCACAACGATGCTGAGATATTTGCAAAACCCGGCCCCTAGGCTAACTTCGACCCCACGATGAGCCTTTTCGGGGGCTTATGTGTTACCCAAAAGCGCCACTGAGGTCGTTGCTCCGGTTTTCATGCAGCCATTTTTTTACATAATGGTGCCATAAGCAAACACCCATCTACGGGAATCAACTGGCAAGCACAATCAGCATTGAATCCAGCTAAGCAGAATCTGCACTCTAAACGAAAGTGTTTAAGTTTTATTTACTATTACGTGAAACACAACCAGCACGTGATCAACCGAAAGTTGGTTCGTAGCCCAACTGAGTTTTCTAGCATTGCTCGTATAGCAGAATTCTCGTGGTCGTGTCGAGATACAGTTCATATATGTTGTGAAAACAACTATCTAGTTGGTGGCAGCGTAGTTGTTCAGCGGATGAGTTCCATTACACAAGAATTCCAAATATTGCAATGACAATGGAGGATACATGGAGGAACTTAAAGATCATGTGAAAAACAGAACAAAACATCGAACACCAAAAGTATTAATATCATTTATATGATCCGACGTCATATATACTGCAGATCCCAGTACTTCTTGTTCAATTCATTTCCTCGCATTCATCACCCACGTAGTTCTTCAAATTGGCATATGGATTCGTCTTCTGGTTCAGGATTTGTTTTCTCCTGCTCATGGAGTCGACTACAGTACTGTACGATTTATGGCGCTAAAAGTACACACGAAGTAGAATGAGATCATTTGTTAGGAATGAAGGGCAGGTGGACCGGTATGGTACCAAGACATTAGCAAGTGCGGCAGTAAACTCGGTGTGGAGTAACTTCGGCAGACAAACGGATTTTCGAGTCAAAATCTAAGTATCTATGGATAAACCACTGCTCCTCGTTAAATAATTATTGTGCACTAAGCACTGCTTAACTAGTTACCTGAGTGGGATATTCTAGGTGTTAGTTATAAGACTCTTCTTCACGGATTTTGATAAATGATTCGGGATGCTGCAAGTGTTGAAGTTCAGTTTTGAACCACACTAGAAACCTCTCTATTACTTTTTAAACGGCAACGATCTCAATGGTGACTACTCTCTTTTCCAGCAATAGTCTGACGCCATTAAAATGAACTCGTCCGCAAAGACAGTTTCTGTGAATTTCTAAGCATGCGAAATAGGTTTCTAGGTCAAATATCCATCGATCTGTATTGGTTAAGCTATCGATTGAGCTCAAAAAGTACAACAAAAAGCTTTTGTACCATAAGATAAACGGCTGAAATAGAAACGAGTGGATATCAGCCCACATCGGACTTATTGCCCATTGGATTGCAAAGAGTGATTTTCCCGGACAAGTGCGGTACTAATTTCCCGATCTCGGAGGGATAGGGATGAGATGCTTGGTTGGCCCGGAGTGGAATCGAAATAGCACCAAGCGCGCTATGACCAAGATCATTACCACTGTGCTATCCGCTCCATCCAACTCGACGTGTGATTCTCTGAAGGGTTAGTCATTTTGTCCTATCCTGGCCGCAAGTTTAGCTCAAGGAATGATTAGACAATCACATTGATGGTAAATTCTAGCAATACCGAAACATTATTGCATTTTTCCAATGCTGGCAATCGTAATTTAGATAAAATGCAAAAGGTTGAACATGACGGCTGTCACGGTCATACTGTGAGTATGATGTTCTGGATCAGACGTTATAAAAGCCGTCGGCGTCGATCAATCCCTGAGAGACGCCCCATGCATTCCATTTCATTTATTGAATGCATATCTGGCCATTCAATGAGTTGTGGCTGCCTGCCAAGTCACTATTTCATTGTATTCATTATGTTTAGCTTTCTTATTTCAGCTCCAAGATTTACATGCAGTCATAGGGCTCCTAAATAATACCTGAATGCCGAAGTAGTAAATATTGGCATGAATCCTATTCGCCACTAAAGTCTCGTTCTCAAGCAATGTGGGAATGGGTGAGAAAGACTATTGGCGTAGTAGAATAGTTAAACTATAGTAAATATTCAAGTCATTTTCATCCAAATGCCGACTGGATATTCCCACACTCGAAAGTGTGGAAATATACGTTATATCATCTAGTGCTGCTTAACAGTAAGAAGCGGTCTTAGGAACCGCTTAACGTAAATGTTTACATTTGGATAAGGTTATGCATAGACAAAAAGAACGATGAGGCACCTAAAAATGATCCTGCTTTGTTAGTATTTTTCTTACTTCACCTGGTATTTTCCACAAGTTGGATGGTGAAACCAGCGCTCTTACTAGTTTCGTCAAGAGGAAAAAACTGACTTACTGAACAAAGTCGAGGTTAGTAGAACGTTGGACCTGGGGATTGCTCTCACTATTCTGAGAAGAGCCTGCCAACGGTTTACCCCCTCATCGTGGTTGGGAGGTGTTCCTGGGTGCCGGGCTGAGGTGTACAGTAGGAGGATTCATGCCCCTGGCATGGTCTTCTAAGCTGAGAAGGCTTCCGGTGTTTCCGTCAGAAAGCCTAATTAAGAGTAAACCGATATGAGCACTTTCACTCCTAATGCTGACCTCGAAATGGAAACCTGTTTTAAAAGCGTAACTAAATTGCAATATCGCGCTGATTGGAAGATTTTCTTTCCTTTCTGCCTGAGTTTCCCTGAGTCAATGTGGTTAGGATAATTCAGAATCCTTGATATTGTTGTTGACGTTTATGTGCCGCCCAATCCATTGCGCTCTCTAAATGCCTCCAGCGTCAGAATTTATTAATCATTAATGATTGACAATCCCGTCTTATCTCAATAGCCTGTATCCTTTTCCCGCTAATTTGATAACATGTAGTTTCCTCCAATTATGACTGAAAGATTACCACTTTCCTTAGCGTCACCATCAAAGCCTGCTCTCGTTCATGAAGATTTTTCATTAAGCACAAGCAGATGCGACACAAATACTGATATCTCACCTACAAGCGCTTTGAAACTATTTTTCCGCTCAAAAATCCTCTTAATGAACACTGGAACACCGTGCTTCTCCTCAATGAAATAATTTGTAAGGTGAATACTGAGCCTTCGCTGATCACTAGAATACATCGATGGCGCTAATCTTTTCCAAGATCTTCTTGTCAAGATCCCATCACGTTATTTGATGGTAAATGAGCTATTGTTAGCCAGAGATGTTGCATTCAACAGGATTTTATATGATAACTTTGAACTACGAAAATCAATTGACACTGGCTATGGACTGTCACGTCGCCAGCATAAAAGAATAAAAAAAAGGATTAAGCTCTCAGCGTTGATCAATCCATGAGGGATGTGCCATGCATTCGACTTCATCAAGCATCGTTTGGAGGTGATTGAATGCATTTCTGGCGTGTACAATGACTCGCGGTGGCCTTCCGATGTATCGAGCCAGTGCTGCTATCCTCTCGTACAAGTCTGGTACCAATTTGCCGACCCCGGAAGGATGGAAGGTTTGGTGAGCAATGGGGCCGGCGATCGATTCCACGTATGTGTTGCAGGGCGCCTCCAACCACTGCGCCCACACGTGCCCTATCGACAAGGTACTGATGAGATTCTTTCCAACCATTCCAGAAGTTTTCCTGGAACCCCTTCCTCGAAATTTTGTGTTGTTGATGGTTCTTAGATAAACAGAGTTTAAATTTTCCAAAATTCGAAAAATTAAACTTTTTAAAATTTCAAACACAGCCACAGCAGCAACAAATATTGGTGGCACATTGGGAGGTACCATACTGGGAGCGATCGCAATTGTTCAACTGGTTCGTTGTCGTCGACGGTGAAATGGGAAAAGAAGTATTAGTGTACTCCAGTAAATAAGAATTTTTCCAAAAAATGCTAAGAATTATTGAAAAAAATCAATGCATTCGAGAGGTTTTTATTCAAGGAAAAAGCTCACCGTGAGCTGAGCTGCGTTGGTCTAGGGCTGGAAGGAAGGAGGCATTATTTTGTTGTTGCTGAGATGGATATGTTCAACTGAGGAGGATCCGGTTCGATGCGAAACGAAGACGCCACATCAAGAAGAGGAACAGCTGTGGCCCATCGACAAGGATCGTCAGCTCTGATGAAGAAGATGCAGACGTCGAAACGCTAGCCGAATAAACATCTCTATCAATTTCGTGTAAGCTCAACAATATAAACACATGAAAGCATTAATCTTGCATCACATGGAACACACGTAGTTAACTCAACGGTTCGTAGGGCGTACACTTCTCATATCACCCAGAATGAAGGTGGACTGCTTCTTCAATATTTTACATAATCTTATCAAAAACGTTGAGTTTATGAAACTGCAAACTCTACAACTGAGTTAGAGGGTACTCTCTGTGTTTTTAACTTGCAGAGTGAAATGAATAACCGTTGAACAAACATCGTGTACGTTATAATCAAGACTGCCTAACGAACGTATATCCTGTTTTTCAAAAATAGATGATTAAACCTTAAAAGGAAAGTGAGAAAAATACTGTTGAACCTTAGACCTTACGAGACCTCTAAGTTGATTATTTTTGACAAAAGGGTACTCGTGAGTGACTCTGCAACAGAGGGTAACGAATTGCGTAGCGGAACTGCCAGAGTTAACCTGAAATTATTTGCTAACCGGTCCTGGAGCCATACTTAATCCACCCCTTTTTCATTGTCTACCACTGAGTTATGTCAAGTATAAGGTTGCTTCAGATCTCGGTTTAATCCCTGTTTGCCACC